GTTCAGACTCACTTCTCTATCCTCACAAACCAACGTCATGCTTGGGATTTATTTTTTTTTTTTACTATTTAACCTGTGCAGGAGGCTAGATTTATTTGCAAAATGTGCATCAATAACAATTCAATAAGCTCAGAGATGTAACTAACAGTTTCTCCCAATTAACCTGAAAAAATGCCACATGGAATGACTTCTAGTTTCAATTTTGTTAAACTCTGCAGCTCTTTAGCTCAGTGGTACAACATTTTGCTGCACACAATCTGCCGCATGAATGACTGATAACAAAACTCCTGATAGCCAGCCTCTTGTGGGCAAAGGTCTTCGGTTCATTAATCATTATCAGTCATCAAAGTTCTTTATTATCCAATGAGAGATTCCACACAGCAAAAAAGATCTAGATATAAGTAAAAAATCTCTTAAATTACATGTATGTACCCAAAATTTGAGTAGGTAAATAAGAGGATTTGTCAATAAGTATATTTAATCTTAAAATTATGATTACATAATATGCACGTAAAATAAGAAAACTGAGTTGTTTTTTTCCCCTTATTTTAAATGTACATTTTCTTGTTTCATTGGCAAAATGCCTTACTTGCCTATTAATTTCAAGAAACAATGCACTTATTTCAAGACAAAATTATTTTTATTTTTTGCAGTGCATGTCTGATGGCCACTGCAGTATTTTCCACTGAAAAAAAATAATGCAACCGCTTTTGGCATTTACTTAATGCTATTTAGTTACTCTAACACAATTGTTTCATGCCCTACCCTGCTAACATGTAACAATTGTGTTAAAGTAGCCGGATATGATAAAGAAAACGGTAATTATTCCTTTTTTTTTTTGAATAATTGCCAAAAATGGCGTTGACATATGCTTTGGATAATTGTTTTCTATGAAGGTCCAATAACACACATACTTTAATGGTAATAGTACCTTGCCCTGATTTACATGTGAGTTTAAGCTCAATCCCTTTGATCCATTAAATTACGTAGGTTCATCCTTTACAGCTATCCACACGGTTTAGGAGGATAGTTTTGGACATTTTGGACAATTCTTCCATAATTGGATTTATAAACCCATAGAAATTATTTCATATACTGTATAGGGACTCTGTGCAGTCTGGTTAGACTCATCCACACCAAACTCTCTCATCCATGTATTTAAAAAGTTTGCTTTGTGCAGAGGCAAGTTGCAACTAGTCACATATTCCCAATTACATTTACTTGAGTACAATTTTGGAAAAAAATATATACTCTACTTCTCCCTTTTTACTTGATCAATATAACAGTAAAGCATTGCTGATCCTACTTTATTAGATATTTCGAGATCCGATGAATATACAGTAAACTGGAGATATAATCAGTGGATGTTCTTCACCGTATCTTATTGTAAGGATTGATATAAGTTTTATATTAGAAAAAAATATTTGAAGAGTTTCTTCTGCATGAACATATTTTGTAATAATGTTATTTATCTGTACCTTTGTATGCATCTTAGTCTTTAAAATACCAGTTGTTCTGACTATCATTTCTAAACATTAAATCAGTTTTTATGACTTACCTACATATTCCCACCCACCCTCCCTTTTGCATTCAGAGTTCCTTTGTCTGAAACTAAGCAGCCAAGCTGAACTTCTGAAAAACAGCCCAACTAATCCCCCTCCACCAAACTTTAAACCGGACACAATACCATCAGTTAAGTGCCGTTCTCTTGGCACCAACCAAACCCAGACACATCCATCATATCACCAGATGGAGAAGCAGGACCTGCTTATACCTACTATACCCAAACCTTATTATTGCACTTTGTACAGGTGCTGGTCATAAAATTAGAATATCATGAAAAAGTAGATTGATTTCAGTAATTCCATTTAAAAAGTGAAACTTGTATATTATATTCATACATTACATACAAACTCATATATTTCAGATGTTTATTTTGTTTAATTTTGATGATTACAAATGACAACAAATGAAAATCTCAAATTCATCATATCAGAAAATTAGAATATTGTGAAAAGGTTCAAAATTGATGGCCCCTGGTGCCACACTCTAATCAGCTAATTAACTCAAACCACCTGCAAAAGCCTTTAAATGGTCTTTCAGTCTAGTTCTATAGGCTACACAATCATGGGGAAGACTGCTGACTTGACAGTTGTCCAAAAGACGACCATCGACACCTTGCACAAGGAGGGCAAGACACAAAAGGTCATCGCTAAAGAGGCTGGCTGTTCACAGAGCTCAGTGTCCAAGCACATTAATAGAGAGGCGAAGGGAAGGAAAAGATGTGGTCGAAAAAAGTGTACAAGCAAGAGAGATAACCGCACCCTGGAGAGGATTGTGAAACAAAACCCATTCAAAAATGTGGGGGAGATTCACAAAGAGTGGACTGCAGCTGGAGTGAGTGCTTCAAGAACCACCACACACAGACGTATGAAAGACATGGGTTTCTGCTGTCGCATTCCTTGTGTCAAGCCACTCTTGAACCACAGACAGCGTCAGAAGCGTCTTGCCTGGGCTAAAGAGAAACAGGACTGGACTGCTGGTGAGTGGTCCAAAGTCATGTTCTCTGATGAAAGTAAATTTTGCATTTCCTTTGGAAATCAAGGTCCCAGAGTCTGGAGGAAAAGAAGAGAGGCACTTCATCCACGTTGCTTGAAGTCCAGTGTAAAGTTTCCACAGTCAGTGATGGTTTGGGGTGCCATGTCATCTGCTGGTGTTGGTCCATTGTGTTTTCTGAGGTCCAGGGTCAACGCAGCCACATACCAGGAAGTTTTAGAGCACTTCATGCTTCCTGCAGCTTACCAACTTTTTGGAGATGCAGATTTCATTTTCCAACAGGACTTGGCACCTGCACACAGTGCCAAAGCTACCAGTACCTGGTTGAAGGACCATGGTATCCCTGTTCTTAATTGGCCAGCAAACTCTCCTGACCTTAACCCCATAGAAAATCTATGGGGTATTGTGAAGAAGAAGATGCAATACACCAGACCCAACAATTCAGAAGAGCTAAAAGCCACTATTAGAGCAACCTGGGCTATCATAACACCTGAGCAGTGCCACAGACTGATCGACTCAATGCCACGCCGCATTGCTGCAGTAATACAGGCCAAAGGAGGCCCAACTAAATACTGAGTGCTGTACATGCTCATACCTTTCATGTTCATACTTTTCAGTTGGCCAACATTTCTATAAATCCTTTGTTTTTATTGGTCTTCAGTAATATTCTAATTTTCTGATATGATGAATTTGAGATTTTCATTTGTTGTCATTTGTAATCATCAAAATTAAACAAAATAAACATCTGAAATATATGAGTTTGTATGTAATGTATGAATATAATATACAAGTTTCACTTTTTAAATGGAATTACTGAAATCAATCTACTTTTTCATGATATTCTAATTTTATGACCAGCACCTGTAATGTGTGGCTGCAGCTGTTTAACCATAACCCTTTTCAGTCCCTCTATGTACTGTTTCTCAGCTAATTTAAAGTCCACATTAGGTTTTGAGGTTTTTTGACAAACAACTCTGCAAAGTTTGTGCATCATGCTCATCTGCATCAGCTGCCCCTCTTCATTGGGTTATGTGGCATACCAATTAACATCTGAATTACTCTCAAGCATAATAATCTCGCTAAACTGTGATATCGTTGCATCTTATTGTTTTTAACCATATAGCTGATAAGTTTCCTTTAATCATATCAATCTTGCTTAAGTTTAATTTTCACTAGGCTAGTTTGTCAATAGATTCTTACATTTCATATTAACGTTGTGCATTTATTCCAAGTTAAAACTGATTTTGCTGTTTGGACAATGCAAGCCCATCAGGTGGTTGTTCATTATTTGTTAAATATTAAATGACAAATGCCTAATTGGACTGCAGTATGCACAACAAAAGGAATTTGACTTTAATTTTCCATCCTTGATTTCTTAATCAAAGTACAAAGTACCACTCAGTCGTTTCATAGACAATAGAGTATATTAAGGTGAAAATGTTACATAGTGCTCATTTGAATGGAGATCCAACTACTTTCATATTAATATACATTAATAGATTGTAGGCTGATATGGCTTAAAATAAAATCTATAATTTTTTTCATACTAAAATCTGATTAATATATACATATAGTTTTGTGTACCTTTACTTAAGTGTTAAAAAAAAATCAAATGAAAGAAATATTTGTACTTTTAAAAACTTGCTTTAATTTCAAAAATTCCTTCTGGTAGTTGATCCAATTTTAAACTGTAACTAAATCCAAGCTGAGAAACAAGTTATCTGACCTATCCATTGTAAACGATGGAAATATGGAATGCAGCTGGTGACATTACAGTGAGCTGGTATCAGCTATGACCAACTAGCTAATAGACATTTAAGAAGACATTAGGGTTTTTTGTTCCCTTATTATTCCTTGTGCAAAACAATACATTCTGGGGCAAAATCTTCTTGACTTTTGCATATTTCTAACATGCAGCAAAACATAATATCTATCAATATCCCTGGTATGGTTGAACTGGGGAACAAAAATTCCTTAACACAGGAATGAAAATATCTGATAAACACAAACCAGATGAAATTAATCTTATGATCTGTCTGTAATTATTTTTTATTTAAGAAATTATCATGTGAAGTATAAATTGTTCTAAAAGCATTACCTGAAGAATTCCTTCAGTTTAATTCGTCCCCCCAAGAAATACTGTCTGAACAGGAAGCAGCGTCTCCAACCAACACTTTAAACGATGTTTGCCTCAAAAATAGTTATTAACACTTGAACAGTTGTTAATTTTAAAATAAACTTTATCTGCATAGGGTGTTATTTCTTTTGAAAATGCAACTAAACTTTTACTTACTGGAAACACAAACACATGGCTTAGACAGGACTGTACATGTCTTTATTTTAAGGGCTGCAGAAGAATATGGAGAGAAACATGTTTATAGGTTAAAAAGGGGGGGAGGGGAAATGCTTGTGGTGCAGAGATGGGGGGGGGGGGGGGGGGGGGGAAGGAGAGTCAAAGCTTTATTGAAAACCAGAAGAGTAAAAGCAGTCAGAAATTCAGAGCAATAATACTACATAGAAAAATACATGAGCGATCTTTTCCATGTGGTGCACTCCAAACGGGTTAATAAATTAACACACAAATGAGAGATGTGCATAATGTGGGTGTTAAATGTAACGTGGTTTTGTCACCCGCTGATGTGACGTTTGGCTTGTGATACTCTCTACAGGTCCTAACATCTTAGATAAATACATAACATACTGCATATACTTCAAAACAAGATTCAAGTCCCTTTGCGGGATTTTCATTTTGGCTGCCTCGTTCTGGGCTCCTCGTGTCAAACTGAATGAGGGCCTGAGGATTAAAAACGGGCCGGATTATCTGAGATCATTCAGTTTTCGTTTACAGGCTTTTAGAAACAGTTCCTTCTGTCTAAAACATACAGATAAACCACAATCGTATAAAAGTTTGTTTCTCACTTGTTTCGCTTGCAGAGAAATGGGAGAGCTTTATTCGAGGCAATGAGCCCGTTTGGTTTTTTCAGGCAGTCTTTTTTTTTTTTTACAGTCTCTCAGGTAGAAAGGAACAAAAAAAAGGACCACGGTGGAAGTAGCCGCCTCATGCTGGCCCATCACCGCGTTTTTAGAAGTGCTCTGTACATGGCGAAGCCCAGCACGGCGAACACCGTGGCCCCGAGGCTGGCCCTCAGCCAGAAGGTGGAGTTCTTCAGGTCTGCCTGGGCCATGTGCCTAAGAGAGGACAGACACACAGGAGGTGAGAGAGGAGCAGATACATGTGAGGAAATCAAGGAGCAGCATGGATCCAGCACTGCAGTGATCGGGTGGGAGGGTTCCAAGGAAAGGAACTTTTTAAATCTGAATCGCATGTAAAGAAAACCATATCCAATCTGAAACCTGACCTGGGCTTTGTTTTTGAAATGTAGTTTCAGGTACAAGGTCTAACAAAGAGGAAATACAGGCGACATAAAAACAGCAGATCTCCTAAACAACATAACATTTATTACTTTATGTCGTGACAGCAGCTCTGGAGGAATCTCATGGAGAAGAATGAGCTTATATAAAGATAATGATAAACAGAACAGTGGTATTCAACCCTAACTTTCTGACCTAGACAGCATCCCCCACCATTATTATTTAAGGTGTCACCATTTTCAGTCTACAGAAAAACAGCCCATGTAGTTACCCTGCTAATATCAGCTGGGTTTACTCAAAGGTATAAGAGTTGTGTTTTGGTTCAAGTTGAACATTATTCTTCTCAAGGTCGCACCTTCCGTCTATTCAATTTAGTTCATGTTAGAGTTTAGGACAGAAGTTCAGAACCGATCGGTTCTCAGTGGAAGCAAGTCTGACATTTAAAAAAACAAATTATTTTACAGAATGAGAGCATTTCTCAATTTGAAAATTAGAGAATTAAACCCTCTTTTTAAATAAAATCTGTTTACTATCCCCTGCGACGCCTCCAGAGCTGTTTAAAACGTGGTTAAAAGTAAAGGAGCAAAAGGCCAATGAAAGGGTAGGAATAGAAAAAAAACCTCTGATGTCCTTAATAGCATAAAAAGACAAACCAGACTAATAGGACTTCATCAGCTTCGAGCTAAAATTGAATCAAATCCAGACGCGTCATCCATCCCATCAAAATGAGATCCAGAAAAGCTGCTGTTTGTTCACACACCTGTTCTTAGTAAACCTCCATGTTGGTGTGGTTTCTGTCTTTACCTTTGAGGAGGAGTTGGCTGCTCAAGCGGAGGCCTCCATATTAGTGGGCTCCTCCATGATGGAGATGACTGTATAACCTGTAGCATTAGCCTGAAATCCTGCCCAAAGCAGCTCCAATCAGCCCAACACCATCCCCACAAACGTAGCAGATGAAGCTGGGAGATCCCATAGAAGTAGACTGACAAGACCCACATGTATTAGTAAACTACTGGTTATTTATCACCAGGAATCTACTAGCAGCATTAATATGAGCAAACAAAGGTGGAGTTTCACCATTTACTTCAACATAGAACTGCATAATACTGTAAACATGCAGTAAAATTACCACAAAGCCTGACTGAATGCAATGATTGTTGTGTTTTTATGTATCAAACATGCTTTTCTAACCAAAGCAACTTTATCAGGTACACCTATTTGGCTTCTGTATAATATTAGATTCAGCCAAACACAGCAGGAGCGAAATGGCTTTATGGATATGGACAAGGTGAAGTTCAACCAAAGTTAAGTAAAATGGTTATTATGTGTGCCAGATGGATTCATCAGGGTGGATCAGAAACAGCAGAGAATTTCATCTTTTCAGAGAAAAATTAGAAAGCTGAGTGGCTTAAAATGCCTTCATGGTGGAAGTGGGAGAACGATGAGCAGACTGGTCTGAGGTGGTGAAATGGAAACAGTAGCTGGTTAAGCTACAACCAGAGTATGAAGGACACTAGATCTGAAAGCGCAGCACTTCAATCTTCCAGCAGCAGATGATGCACACTGATGGACACTTATGAAAAGATCCCAGCTGCTCTGATGTATCAACTTCTGCAGCTTCACTAATCACGTCTCCCTTTATGATCTGATGGCTACTAGTAGTGGGATGATGACCTGCATCACAAACCTTCTCAAATAAGTGCCTTGAACAAAACAAGGAGTTCACTGTACTCTAATGGCCTCCAACGGTCACCACGACCTATAGAGTCCCTTTAGGACGTTGGCTACAAATCGTCATTAACCTCATGATGCTGTTAATTTTGAAGCAAAATCTGAGGGTTGTTAAAGAACCTTTGCCAGCTAAGAACAGCGGCAAGCTTAAAAGCAAACACTGTCTTTCCCCAGTAGTAGGAAGGTGTACCTAATAAAGTGGCCAGTGTCTTAGCAGAAGAGTTGGGCTTTTTCTCTCTCTATGATCCAAGGTGATAAAACTCAGGAGTAGAGAGGAAAACGCTAATGATGCCACCTAGTTTATGATCTCTATTATACAGAATAACAAACAGAATCAAATTATCACTAATCTTTACAAAAAGTACTTCAAGAATCAGATTTCAACCCAAATACTTTTATGGGCCTTTCACAGTTTTATCATATGGATGCATAGTAATATATTATAGTTATATGTCTGTTTAAACATACAGTTAGTTTAGTGTGTTAAAGTATTTTATGTGCAACAATTAGGAGTTATATAAAATAAAGAACCTAAGGTAACAGAAAGAGTTCATCCCCGAACACTTCTGAAATTAAAAAACGGATGCTGCTTAACGTCTTATTGTTAAGCGTATTATGGTTCTAAACTGAAACATTAAAAAGCTTTTAATGCTTTATTTTATATAAATAAAAAATCTTTAAAGAAACACTGTAACAGTTGAACCAAGTTTAAGCTGAGTTGTAGATCCACTAAATCAATATTCAACCCTTGGTTTGTATTGATGCTCTGTGTGGGCCGCTCTTCTGATAAACTCAGATATTTAAGCAGAGATGATCGGATCTGATGCTGAACGGGTCATGTGAGCCAGAGCGCTGCTTTTACAGCCGGCAGAGCTTCCCTTTAAACAGGAGAACTAACCGAGCTAAAAGTTGTTGTAAACAATAGAAAATATATGACTGGTTTAGACATATTTTTGGTTCTCTGATTTATGATTTAATCCAGAGGGATGAACATGCTGGTCTTTACAATGACTTCTTAATCTGCTGGTCTAAATTGGTCTGCTCTCAGCTTCAAAACTGGGAGTTAGAGGTCAAATGCCCCCTGGTGGCTAGAAGATCCAAAGTGTTGCTTTAAGTGGGGCCCTATAATTTCCGCAATCACGGAATCGAGGACGGAATCGCGGAATTGGCAAATTAACGCGGAATCTAGTGTAAACGCGGAATTTCTACATTTGACATTAAATTCTGTTTTTGTGTGGGACAAGAACGTACGTCGGGGGGAAATGCAAACCGGGGGATGCAAATCTGGGCGACACAACCCCTCCCGCTCCGTCATTTCCGCTCACCCTCCCCCATCAAAACTCTCTCTCGCTCTCCACAGCTGCGCTTTCTGCGAAAAAGTTGAGAAACACTTGCTTACATGCTTGCTGTATTTTGCCTTGTTTTTTATGCACTTTAATGTACTGTATGGAAAATATTATTCTTTATGAAATACTTTATAATTCTGAAATTGAGAGGTTCTATTTTATTTTTTTACTTGAAAAAGCTAATGGAGCACTTTTATTTAAAACCATTGGTTCATAACCATTAATATTTTGTTAGTACTTTAGAGTGCAGTGTTATGTTGCATCATGCAGTAAAAGTCCTGAGTAAATGTGTTTTTTTTTTTTTGCCTCAATAAATTTAAGGTCATTCCTATTTTATTTGTGTACGTTTTAATCATTAACATTAAAAGCGCATTCTTTTTACAACTGAAATAACAGTAAAGGGTAAAAAAACTAAATTTGCAAAAATTTAATGAAAAAAACAGAATTTTCAACAATTAAAACGGAATTTGGGAAAAAATAAAACTGATTTTATAGGGCCCTATTTAAGCCTCATTAAATGGTTACCAAATATTGATTGATGAAAAAAACCTAATTGGACAAATGGTTTCAGACTGCCTTCTTTACAATTATAACAACCAAAAGGACAAAGAGGGGAAAAAAAACATCACCCAGCCTTAGCTAGGCTGCACTTCTCTTCAGAGATCTAACACCAAAAATCTTCACAAACACAGCAAATAAAAGAAGTTCACAGCAACAAGCAGACCCATTTAAACCAACTAATAAAATAGGTTTCCCCTGGTTGACTGATTTAGCTTGGACAAATTATACTTTGGTTTATCATGTAATTGAGCTTTTTGACTGTTATGGTGAGAAATTCAAATGAACCCTACATATTTCCTATATGATCCATTCTGAAGTGAAGATAACAAATAGGGAACCAAACAAAAAGAGAAGCATAGAACGAACCATTATACGATCCGGTACCATTTGCTTAAAACAATCCTACACCTAACATATACCATTACTCTCACACCAGATTCAAAACACCAAGCTCCCTTTAATGTTGACAGATAAAACCTGATAGGCACCAGCAGGTGGCAGCACTGCTTTAGGCCCCAACATCATTTCAATTAAAAATTTAAAGAATAGTTAGAAGAAGGTTAAAAGATGCAAGAGGAAGAGGAAAAGGGGCAGCCAGACACAGTTATATGAACACCTATAGAGGGTGGAATTAAAAGACATAAAAGAGAAAGAAAACAGGATGAAATAAAGGTGATTGGTGCAGTTTAAATCATTCAAAAACATGAAAACATTTCAAAAAGCTTGTTAATCAAATGTATTAGGCCTTAACACAGGAGGACGCAGGAGGAGCTTAGTTATGTCCAATTTAAAACTAAGAAACGAGTCCTCCATGTTTTAAGACCTAAGCAGTAAGCATTAAAATAAAGACAAAATGAGACTGAAAACATGAATTTGAATCAATTAATAACAGGATCCCATGTTTTTAACAGAAAACATTTGAGGAAATTTAAAAATGCTTTACAAGCTGAGGTTTTCAGAGTGAATAAAACACTAAGACAGACTGGCAGTTTCTCTCATTTTGTGTTCAAAGGAGTCAGAGTTCACGGTCTGCAGATCCACTGCAGGAACATAGAAATTAAACTGCTCATTGATATTTTACTGTTTTACCTACAGTAACGCTGCTTCATTTCATCTCAATGCCCCTGAATGCAGAAATGTCTTATGTGTTTATCTAAGCTGTACAACATGCTGCATGCAGCACGGCACTCCCACGCAGACACACGGGTACCTCCCTGGTTAGCAGCCTAGGTGTTAGCTGGCCCAGGCTGGTCACACAGCGACGTGCCAGACTGAACAGAGAGCGGCTGGGCTGGCTGGAGCTGCAGCAGAAACCAAGACATCCCACAGCGACCAAATAAATGAGGACGTCTCATTTAAAAAAACAAAAGCAGGATTGAGTTCATTAGATGATTTGCTTTCTAGCAGCTAACGAAACAAAAGCTCCAACCATCTTTTACATCTCAGCCCAAACATAAACTACACTTACCATGGCAATGACTATGGGCTAAAACTTTTAGGATTTTTTTCTAATATCCTCCCATTTTGAGATCAACCATCAAATCAACTCTTTTCATCAACTGAGAGTATTCATTATGTTCCTGCAGTGCATATGCTAAGTAAATCTGCTAAAGGAGAGCAGAGGAGTTATCAGCAGTGTTACTGAGCTTGGATCAAGAAGGAGCGTTTAGAGGGAGAGCAGGGAGTCTAGGTTACAGGACTACAGCTTTATCTGTGTATGAACCTGTTGTAAACGACCCTGCGGAGTTGGGCCTTAACGCTGCGCAGCAGCTCCAACTTCAGGAGGTTTTGACACAGGCAATAAGTACACCTGTTGCAGGAACACATGCAGCGGAGGCGGGCGTGGCTGCGGACAGACACAGAGAAATGCGTGTATTCACCACCAGAGCAACACAGCAAACGGCATACAAAGGTGGGGGTGTAAAATCAGTAAAAATGAGAGGCTTTAAGTTCAACGAGAAGGTTAGATCAATCCATGCCTTTCTCTGTCCGTCACTGGAGGAGAGCCAGAAAAGCAAGATAAAAGAACACTCATCTTTTAAAAATGATTTCTAATGTATTTCCAAACAAAACCTTAAAAAGTGAGGGAAGACCCTTTTAGATGTTCTCACTGAAATGAAAATGGCTAAACACAAAGTTTGTGGTTGTACTGAAGCCAAGAGTTCATGCTCTATTTTATTGCATTTACCATAAATAAACATCTATTAATATAATTCATACAGGGAGGCACAGTGTTCAATATAATAGCACCAGTGATAGTTTAGTAAAATATAGCAGGATGCAAAGCTTAAGCACAAAATGCTAACTGCCATGTTTGCATAAACGTTAAAAACAGAGCGTAGCTGTGTCTCAACTCTTTATGTTAACAATAAAAACGTTAAAGTTGTCGTTATGGACAGAGAACTCGACAAAACTAAAGGAAAGCAAAAAAAAAAAACTGCTAACGGTTTCAGTCTCATAAATTAGTCTCACTTTAAATATTCACAAACTTCACATTTTAGGGAAATGAAAACATTTAGACTGGGGCTAAAACAATTAAAGGGATTAATTGTGATTAATCAATTACTGAAATAATCATCAACTAATTAAGTAGTTTATTAATCATTAACTGGAGTACAGAGACCCTGAAACACGCCTTTAGCTGACAGAGCACTGCCACTCAGTTATTATACCAACATTTTAAAAAGCTATAAAAAAAATTTGCAGTAAAGATAAAAAAAAAACAACAAAAAACACATGTTTTCATCTGTCAATATGCTGTATTCAGAACTCAGGGAGTGGAAAAGTTTTAGTTTCAGATGGTTGAAAATTCTTCTTTAAGGAACCTTTTGCAATGCGATTTGTAATAGAAAAGAAAAAAGACAGATTAATTGATTAGCAAAATAAGTTAGTTGCTGCCCTAATTTAGACTAGGGCTGAAACAATTTAAATTAATCATGATTAATCGATTATTGAGATTAATGTCAACCAATTTAGTAATCCATGTATCGTTAACAGGAGAATAGAGACTGTAAAACACGAATTTAGCTGACAGAGTGACCCACCTTGAGCAGCAATTATACCAAAACCAAAAAGTAAAAATAGTATTTTGCACTTAAGATAAAAAAAAAAACTGTCATCATGTTCTATCCAGAACTCTTCAAGTGGAAAAGTTTTAGTTTCACCTGTTTAATTTCTTACAAAGTCTACTTTAAGGAACCTTTTTTTATCCTTTTATTTATCGATTAATAAAAAAAAAAAAAAAAAAATTAGTTTAAAAGCAAAATAACCGTAAGTTGCCGCCCTAATTTAGACTTTAATAGCTTTTTCCAAAAACATTACTACCTCTGGTAAATAAAAGTACCTTTTACTTCAGTTTCATAACCTCACTGAGAAATAGGACATTTAATTTTTGAACATTTAGTCACTTTAGAGAAGAAAAGAAACTAATCATTTTAACAAAATCACTGAAATTTTCCATCTTTTCAGATAAGGCCGTTTGCTTAGGATCATTTTTCTGCTCAAATGTCGATTAATGACCAATTTTTAGTTTTAGGTTTCCTGGTGACATCATGTAACTAGGTTTCTAGCCCGCAGCATCACAGATCCTCAACTTAGCAGTGGGATCCATTTTCTTAGCAGTTTTTATTGACAAGCTTTTTACCTGACCAAGAGTAGATAAAACCTAAATAAAATATTCTCATGAAAAACCAGAATTATTAAAATTGTTGAACATGATTAAAACACGATGACAATAATATGGTCATAAGGAAAGGTGCCATGAATTAAACTGAAAACAATCCTGAGAAATAGGAATTTAACGATCTGAAATATTTAGCAGCATCAATGTTTTTGCAGAAAATATATTATTATGTTAAAATGCAAAGAGTTTTTAAGATATAACAGGCCTACATGCATTGAAGAATATCTATAATAGGATAAATCTTACTTGCATATAATGCATTCAAAATGTTCTTCCTAACCCTCCCGCTCAGTGTGGTGGCCAAAAGAAAAATGCAGGTCCCTATTCAGCTTACCTGCCAAAGCTAATATAAAAGGGCCTAAATGTCAAATGTCAATTATTACAAATCAAAAGTTACTAGAACTTCTAATCAAATTTCAATAATTCAATGTTAAAAAAAAGCGCTGAATTCACCTCAAAGGGAATCCATGTTGACCCAGCATAATCAACTTATTAACTGGATTATTCTTAAAGGTTCGCTACACTACAGCAATAAAAGACATAAGAATAAAAAAAAGAAAATTGTTCTCCACAAAAAAAAAAAAAAAAAAAAAAAAAAAACAAACTAAAACATAAAATCTTTAGTGAGAAGTGAAGGAAGTGGACAGTCAAGCTGAAGAAGGTCAATAGAATAAACAGCTGTGGGTTTTCCTGATAATCTGATGAAGGTTGGAGTCAGATTTTCCCCAAACCGTGGATTTAGAAACCCCATCTGTCATGACTTTTGTTAAAACTCATTAAAAACGGCTCGCACTCAGCAGATTTTGTGTTTCGGTATTTAAGGAATAGGATAGTAAACTGCTACAATGAGATTAAACCGGAACATTCCTTTAAGTGCTTCATAATCCACTCTATAACCTAATCTGATCTGAGAGCTTGGAGTCTATAAAACACCCCTCAGGGTTCAGAGGGACCTTTATGAGGAAACACAATTATTCAATTCTACTTTAGAAACTAACACAGAGATACTGTGATGTTTGGTGGAACATCTCTCTGATCATCTTATGACAAAAGTAGAAACTGGTTTCAACCTTTAACCTCTTGAATAAAATCACCTAGTTAAGGAAAATAATTTGTAATGTTCAACCTTTGATGGTCGGCCATTTATCCATGGAAAAATACTAAATATAATACAGGATAGATGAGGTGTAAAGGGTTTTGTTGCATTTTAATACTCACGGATACATGGCCATGGTGGTGAGTCTGGTGTAGATGTCCTTATTGGGCGCCTCGGTCATGTTGCATGTGAACGGCTGTGGTGGGTGGAGCTTGTGCTTGCGGCAGAACTCGTGCGGCGAAAGGCTGTAGTGCTGCCGTACCTCATGCAGGTCGGACTTGGCAGCTATCACCACACATGGCGTCTTGCTGTCTATGAAGCATTGCTGCAAAAAGAAATGAGGAAAAGTTTGTCTTTAGAAGAAGGTGGACGTTTTAAACAAGCCTGGTGGAAAGGATCTGGAGTCCCACCTTGTACACTTTAGCGCAATACTCAAAGGAGCGAGGGTTGTTGACGTCGTACACCAGGCAGACCACGTCGCAGGCCATGTCGGCCTCGGACAAGAAGTCGAGATCTGGCATCACCTCGTGGAGCTGATGGAGAATGGACGAAAGGGGAACAAAAAGAGGTTGGAGATGGAGGGATTAACGCTCAGCCGGTCCTGATGCGGTAATACAAAGTGATTATTTGGCAGTAATCCGGAGAGCTTCAGCTTTAAATACAAGGTTCTTACCAGCAGGTACTTCTCCTGACCGTAAACATAGGTCGTACTGATGGCGTAGTAGGACTTGTGGTCTTCTCTGATCTGCCTCTGTCTCTGCAGTGGAACAATGTAGTCAATATTATCCATTCAAGGTTCATTTTGCTTTATAAAGGAGTTTTATATATAAAATGTTAGAACTATTTAGTCACTGCTGTAGATGCATTTCCTTTATAATTAAAACCAATAAACATTTGCCTCAATTTAAAGGCATGTTTTCTTGTCTTTGCCATTTAGAGCAGCTGCTAAAAAAATGGGCTCCTATGTTGCATCTTGTTTGTATTCCAAGGAAAACAAGAAGTGATGCATTACAAGAAAAAAACTCCATTTAAACTCTGAGCAACACAGAAAAATTAGGCTTAAAAATAATAATTACACAATGATGTACAGCTGATATTGACTGACCTGCAGGTTCCTGCCGAGGAAAGCTTGGAGGAAGCCGCTTTTCCCGCTGCCGCGCGCCCCCAGGACGTTACAGCGGAAGACGCTACGCTGCGTCTGCTTCTTCTGCAGATCGATGCGCTTGTTACGAGTCACTAGCAAAGAAGTTAAAGCATAAAACAGGAATAATAAATGAATTATACACTTCATAATTCTATTTTTTCAAATAAGAAAACACTCAAAGAAATTTTAAGGCAGTTATAAATATTTAAATAAAAATGTATAATTGTCTGTTTACATTACTAACAACTTATTTAACTGCAGCTTAGATGGAAAAGCATTAAACATTAAAGACATGATGGTCCGTTACCAGTAATAGCAGCAGCCTGGGACTCTTGTTCATAGATGATGGAGTAACCAAGGTAACCTAAATACTCCAAACTCCTCTGAACATCCAGATAAGTTGTTAATCTGAAAGGAGAAAAAAAAGGAGGAATCAGTGCTTAGAGCATTTCTGGGCTGTAAAACTCTGCTGTTTGACCTTGTGGAAAGTTATTTAGGTTAAAAAAACTTTGTGGGAGAGAAAGCATGTGTGTCTCTGTATTAATAGAAACCCACTCACGTCCACTGGGAGAGGTATCCCTGGTATGTGATCCATCCCTTATCATTGGTGCATACTGTGTTGTTGACATCTGGACCCCAGGGCATGTAGGGAAACACTTTGAACAGGTCCTTCACCTCCTCTGGGGACAGCGCACAGTCTCTGTCCTGCATCAGACCAAACAGATTTAACTTGGATTTTTCAGCATAAAAGCACATAGAACCAGAGAGTGTATATTCAACCAAATCCGCATAAAGGGATTAAACCCTTTAAACTGCTCTGTTAGGGTGGCTTACTTTGTCATGTTTGTCAAAGACGCTCTGCAGAAAGAGGTAAGCGTTGTGGTTTAGCTCAGTGGTGCAGTCTGGTGGGACCTTTACCCTGAAATAGAGACACAAACATTAGATGTGCAGCTGACCCACTGAGGTTCCAACACTGTGGGTCTGTTTGTTTTACTGAAAGCAAACAGGACAGGAAATAGATGACAGCTAGCAGTTTTTTAAAACCATGAGAGTATTTCAAACAGTGACAGAGTGGTGTGTGCTTTCACTTTATAGTACTGTAGATCCAGAAATAGACAATTATTTTTCATCTGTAATAAACTGAAAGGTAAATATCTAAGGAAAGCTGATACCAGCAGGATTTGGAATGTAATAGATATTTATATGTTTATTTTCAAATGGGGTAAGTTTTCCTCCATGCTTACAAGGGGAACAGGTATTCCTGTGTGAGCTCCAGGTCATCATCGTATCCAAACCTCCTCAGCACCGTCCACGTCGTCTCATGCCGACCTCTCTGAATGAAGAGGGTGTGCAGGAAGAGGAAGCCTGCGACGATGCATCAATGAGAAAATTAGATGCAGCAAAATTGAAAGAGAGGCAAAAAAAATGAAAGAAACAAGCCTGACCTTTGAGAGTGAGTCCGTTATCTTTAACCCCGTCAGTCATGTTCCTCCTCACCACATTCTTTACATCTTCTAAGGCCTGAGGCGCCAGAGGTGTATTGAAACAGGTTCTCTATGAACACATGAGACAAGACATTAAATATTCTCCAGGTTTGATCAAGCCCAAACCTGAACTCTTTGGTGACAGATATGACAGTTCTAGAATTACCTGGAAGAAGTTGAGCTCGTTGTCATTCAGGATCCCATCGTTGTCTAGATCAGATATTTTAAAAATCCGAGTTAAAGCTTTAATGCAGGAAGGTTTCAGCTGCAACAGAGAAACCGCCACCATTAATGAAGTGTTTGGCAATCAGAAATGAAAATAAAAGGGACTAAAGAATGAAAACAAGTTTGTTTCTTTATTATATATGTAGGTATAATCAGGTATTCAGTGTGCAGTCATTTAGAGCAGAGGTGTCTCCACTAAAAGGTTAAGCAGCAAACATTCAAAAGTACAACCGCAGGTTGATTAGGCAACCTGCGGTTGTGCAGCTGATGTTTGCCGTGCCCAAGCAGGTGGAGCATGGGTGTTACTAGTAGCAATAACACAGATTCAACTTGATTGACGTGTCAAATAGCTGCAGGGAAAACTGTCCTGAAATACCCGAGGAGCGTCAAACCTCTACCTGGATTATTGTTGCCCCTAATGAACAGCAGGCTCACCTCCTTCTCCTCTGGGCAGTAAAGGGGGCCTGTTGGGTGGAGAACAGCCTTCTGGGCGTAGTAGAACAGCTCAGAGATGTTCTTCAAGTTTTTGGCAGAACACTGAGGATCAAAGGGAAAAAAACTTTTATATGTCTGGGTGAAACAAGCAAACAAAAACTATGACTTAATAGAGATCCGCTGATGGATGTTTGTAAAATAAAACCTGTTAATGAACTTTTCTGACAAGTATCCATGTTTTCACTATTAATGCCCTGCTTAGTCAGACATATCTACTTTACATCCACGAAGGCAAATATTTCTCCAAAGCCAAAATGGATCTTTACAAGTAACAATGCGGAAATCAAAATAGATTTACCTCCTTTAGTTAAATGATGCTTTTTTATAAGTTGACTGCATGCTTTACAAAGTGTTTTACAAAGGCTTCACTCTCAAAGATCCTTAAATCTATCCCTCATCATTCGTACAGATTGCATAGAAGTGTTTTATGACCATCATCTATCCAAGGGCTGCTACCTTGTAGCCTAATGATAAAACCCATCAATAAATGTAATAAATAAATAATTCTGACTGCAAAAATACAGTGGGGCAAAAAAGTATTTAGTCAGCCACCAATAGTGCAAGTTCTCCCACTTAAAAAGATGAGAGAGGCTGGTGATTTTCATCATAGATATACCTCAACTATGAGAGACAAAATGAGAAAAAAAATCCAGAAAATCACATTGTCTGATTTTTAAAGAATTTATTTGCACAATATGGTGGAAAATAAGTATTTGGTCAGTTACAAACAAGCAAGATTTCTGGCTCTCACAGACCTGTAACTTCTTCTGTAAGAGGCTTCTCTGTCCTCCACTCGTTACCTTCATTAATGGCACCTGTTTGAACCCGTTATCAGTATAAAAGACACCTGTCCACAACCTCAAACAGTCACACTCTAAACTCCACCATGGCCAAAACTAGAGAGCTGTCAAAGGACGCCCGAAACAAAATTATAGACCTGCATCAGGCTGGGAAGTCTGAATCTGCAATAGGTAAACAGCTTGGTGTGAAGAAATCAACTGTGGGATCAATTATTAGAAAATGGAAAACCTACAAGACCACTGATAATCTTCCTCGATCTGGGGCTCCACGCAAGATCTCACCCCGTGGGGTCAAAATGATCACAAGAACGGTGAGTAAAAATCCCAGAACCACACGGGGGGACCTAGTGAATGACCTGCAGAGAGCTGGGACCAAAGTAAAAAAGGCTACCATCAGTAACACACTACGCCGCCAGGGACTCAAATCCTGCAGTGCCAGACGTGCCCCCCTGCTTAAGCCAGTACATGTCAAGGCCCGTCTCAAGTTTGCTAGAGAGCATTTGGATGATCCAGACGATGACTGGGAGAATATCATATGGTCAGATGAAACCAAAATAGAACTTTTTGGTAAAAACTCTACTCGTCGTGTTTAGAGGAGAGAGAATGCTGAGTTGCATCCAAAGAACACCATACCTACAGTGAAGCATGGGGGTGGAAACATCATGCTTTGGGGCTGTTTTTCTGCTAAGGGACCAGGACGACTGATCCGTGTGAAGGAAAGAATGAATGGGGCAGTGGGAAATGGGGAAAGTCCGTGTTGCCCAGCGACAGCCCCAGAACATCACTGCTCTAGAGGAGATCTACATGGAGGAATGGGCCAAAATACCAGCAACAGTGTGTGAAAACCTTGTGAAGACTTACAGAAAACGTTTGATCTCTGTCATTGCCAACAAAGGGTATATAACAAAGTATTGAGATGAACTTTTGTTATTGACCAAATACTTATTTTCCACCATATTTTGCAAATAAATTCTTTAAAAATCAGACAATGGGATTTTCTTGATTTTTTTTTTTCCTCATTTTGTCTCTCATAGTTGAGGTATATCTATGATGAAAATTACCAGCCTCTCTCATCTTTTTAAGTGGGAGAACTTGCACTATTGGTGGCTGACTAAATACCTTTTTGCCCCACTGTAAATGCTATGCTCTTCAATCATGTAGTTTGGAGAAAAATTGTTACAGAAAAACTATGAAATTTCAATTTTCTTTTCCCTCATTTTGCCAGCATCGTACGGCTACACCACACACACAGAAGTTTGACCACCTGGAGTAGAAACCAATTTCATGCATCCTGGCTCCTGAGTAAAACACTGCTTCACATTTGTTTAATATACGAGGTATGAGCGTCTAAATCTGTGCCGGCTGTATGTGCCGTCTCTCACGTCCTCCTGGATTATCCCTGTAACCTTGTAACTGATCCTCCAGAGGAGGAAAGACTGTGTGACGGGAGAGAAACCTGAATAAAAACAGCAATGCAGCCAAGCCTCCAAGTCGACGTGCTCTCAGTCCATCCGTCAGAGTCAGGAGGTCTGACACGGTAATATAAGCCCAGTTATGACTCAACCAGAATGTGAGCAGTCAGGCTGCGATCTGACCAACCGTCACGGTCTCATTCATTTATCTCTCCGCTTTAATTATGCCTCATCCTGCAGCTTCTTTACATTCATTGTCTTGTGCAAAAATTTAATTTTTTTACCTCTACACAGGTCTCAATATCCTGGTACTGATTCATTATTGGCAGGATGGTTTCCATGCTGCTGTGCTCCACTAGGTCTGACTTGTTCCCAACAAGAATCAGCGGCACCCTGCAATAGTTATTAAAACATTAAATCGACAAATTAGGAACTCAATTCATAACAATATCATCAGTGAAAATAAAATTGTCAAGATAAAAATCCCATTTCCCATTTTCACCGCTTTACAATTTGAAACATAAAAATAAAAATTTTAAAACAGTTTTATATTAGATTATGGAAAAAATGCATCAGTATCAGAGAGAAGGTAAACAATTGTGTCTAAATATGGTTGTTACTGAAGCATTTACACACCTGCTGTCTTTATCGGTTCGGTCGTTTATGAGGGGAATCCAGTGGCTCGTCACCTTTGGGAGAAAAGCCCAGAATTTAGTTCCTCTAATATAAACATTTCAGCAAAAAAAACACACTTTTTTTTTTAAATAATATGTTCTTCTTTCAACAAAAAATATATATTTTAATTTTTTCCTGCAAAGATTTTTTTTTCCAATCACCAATTCAGATCCGAGTCAAGTTAGAAACATTTTCATAAGTCCAATATGATGCTATAAAGTTATTCAAATCAATGCAAGGTGAGGTTCAATAAGACTAATTTAATGGATGAAGCTGAATTTAGCTTTAACTGAGAATTAGCCAATGAGCTAACGCTCCAGCTAACATAATAGCTCCATTTTAGTCTCACAGCTTATTCAACTTCTACAATACATATTATTCAACGGCGATCCTGGGCTATGAGTACAACATTTAGTACAACTCCACACTCAAATCACCAGACTGATTCAACTTTTTCAGCTCATATTAAAAGGTATACATCAAAAACTTTACGCTTAATTTTCTTTTATTTATTTCTATGGAAATTTGTGTTTGAATATAGAAGCTAAACAATAGAAGAATGGATTTATGCATGGAAGAATGGAACATTTTGATAATAGAAATGTGTTATTTTTACCTTTTCGATGGACTTCTTGTTGTTAACGGAATAAACTATGCAGATAACGTTTGCCTTCAAAGAGAAATAGAAACATTTGATGTGGATGCATGAAATAAACCCAGATAAATAACAAGGAGAATCACAACAAAACTACCTTGGAGATTTCCTGATACAGTTGCTCCTCTGTCTGTTCTGCTTCTACATGAGAGAGAAAAAAAAACAATAAGCAAAATGATTTGCCAAATCTCCAAACTTATCAATACCTTCCTGCTGAACATTCAGACTAAATATTTTGCCCACAGAAGCTCATTTGAGGCTTAAAACTTTCTTGAAAGTAGTTGAATCTAAATATAAAAAAAAAAAAAACACATTAAAGGAATCTGAAACCAAACCTTCATATTTTATTCTAAATTATATTATTATCATTTTTTTCCCCCATTAGATGTTTATTAGGGTTGTAAATCACATCCATCATGGCGATTTGATTCAGTATCAATTTTTCTGACCCAACGATTAGATTATTTTCACTGAAAATTAATAATGCCTCTGTTTATAGATTCTGAAAGCTCCTGCATCAAAAATGATGCAATGCATAAGGGCACCAGCAGATTAAGTAACAAAAATAGGCCTATACTACACCGTAGCACAGGTGGTAGAATTACGTCCAGGAGCAAATGGATAAAAATAGACCGGAGGGAAAAAAAAAACATGAATCGATACTCTTGCGGACGTGTCGATTCATCAGATCGTCGGCTGTTGGATCGATGCATCGATACAAAACGATTATTATGTACACCCCTAATGTTTACCATCATAATGTAAAAGTATGGACAAAGTTTATACCGTTTAATTACAGTGTTTCTACAGCCTTAAACCAAAGCTCTATGTGCAGAGACCAAGTTACCAGAATAGTCCACGATGTGCGTGGGTACCCTCTCTGGGGTCACATCAGCTGGGATGGTGATCTCCTCAGCTCTGAGAGGAACCTGCAACACAGACTACATTTAATATAGAATTCAACAGTTTTAGATTCTGAAACAAGTGTAAAAACCACAAACAGGAGCAAACAATAAAGAGCTTATAGGTTAAATGATAAATTGCACAGCATCCAAGTCCATGTAAATGCATACCTCATCAGGAAACTCCTCACTAACCAGAGACATGATCAGAGATGTCTTCCCCACCTTGGCTGCAGGGCAGAAGGGAAATAAGCACATTACATTCCTCTTTTAATCTGCTGGATGGAGGAGGCAGGTTCACCACTAATAGAAACACTGCCGAACATATACAATAAAAAGAGTAGCCATCTTTTCAAAGGAGATCTATGAAGAGATCTAAAATTCCCCAGATGAGAAAAGCTAAACTCTCTGCTTCATTCTAATGTAAAAAACAGAATCAATTAGAAAAGTGAGTAAATATGACAATGCAATATCAGCATCACAAGCAGTGGCTTAACATGCAGCAAATGTGAGATCATCATTGAAGCAGCAGGCATTAAGGCTCTCTAGTAAAGTAAATAATTTAGTGACTATTGTTTTATAAACAATAGTTTTACTATCAAGTCTTGAAGAAGTTACAGCCGATTCTTTTGTCTTTGACAAAGCAGCAAGAAGGAACTCCTTTCCATAAAGTCTGCCAGAAATCTCAATGAATCTAAATCCCTTTTAAAGTCTTGGTTGCCTAATGGCATTTAGGGTGTCTTTCAAATAATTTTTTTATTAATTTGATTATGAATAAACTTTTCAATTAAAATTCTGTCGGTGAGATTAAAATAATGAGTCTAATGCTGCTAACATTTTAAGTTTTATATTTTCAAAAGTGCCCAAAGTGGAAAAAAATCCACTCTTTTAGTATTTATTTATCGCTACTAATATTGACATGGGGACAAAAACAATGTCCTGTTTTATTCCCAAATACTGAGAAGACATAAAATATTTAAATCAATAGGAAATACGAAACATAAACATAGACATGCAACAGGAATAAATACAATTGTATATTTAAAGAAAAGTTTTTAGTAATCATTACTTTCCAGTAGGGCTGCAACAACGAATCGATAAAATCGATAAAAATCGACTTTTAAAAGCGTTGGCAACGAATTTCATCATCGATTAGTTGTGTCGCGCGATTATTGCGTCATCCGCCGCGCCGTCATCACTGCCTCTTGACTGAAAGAGGAAGAAAAAAAAATATGGCAGAGCGAGTCAGCGCCGCAGGAGCAGTGTTGCCAACTCAGCGACTTTTCAGACCCCTCCAGCGACTATTTTTCAAAAAAGCGACTAGCGACAAATCTGGCGACTTTTTTCGGTGTCACTGGCGGCTTTGAGACTCTTACGTGAAAGCATGTATCGTTCCTACTCTGCCGTGGGGCGCCTCCCCCACCCCAAACCGCGTTTTCCCGCAGGAGTCCCTCTCAGCGCTGCAGTCAAAGCCTCAGCGTCCAGACTGCAAATGAAGCGCGCATGCACCGGGATTGACGGCGCAAATTGATCACAATAATTAAAATAGCCTGCGCTTTGTAAAGCGAAAAAAGTGATAACATGCAACTTTTTTCAAAAGAAATTAACATGGCACGGAACCACCATGTTTGTTTGGTTTTAAAGTGGGGAAACGTAACGTTAGTTTCTCAGGTAGCTCATCTGATGCTTTCCTTACCGTGTTAGTAGGTTACAGACAGTGATAAGGTTGGCTACTTATTTTACTTTTAATTTCATTTGAATTAGCTTAAGCAGCATTTATATTTACTTTATAAATAAATTAACTTGCAAATTATGAGGGCAAGGCTTTTAAAGTTTAAATCTTCTGGCAAAGATAAAGTAAAGAAGATCCTGCAATTTATGGAAGTAAAGCAGAATAAAATCCAGCAAGATCAGTAATATGTCAATTAATTATCTGCCACATTTCCATGTAAATATCTGTCTTTGGAGGAAGTGTTTTTTAGCACCCTTAGTTCTCTCATTTTTATTCCAAATACAATTTATAATTTGAATCACAGGGCTATTTTTATCTCTATGGTTCAGTATTTTCTCAAGTAGCAACTTTAACTGCTGTACTTTCCTGTCTTAAAAGGCAGAACTCTTCTAGTCTAAAAAAACTCATTTGTTGAAATGGGGGGGCCTATTGTTTGAACCCCTTAGGGGCTTTAAAAACAAAAATGTCTTTTTTTGCGCTTTATGAAAAAAAGTAGCCTATATTTTGTGGATGTACAGCTACATTTCTCATGTAAGTTTGCGTATTTTTAACACAAACATTTATTTTTCATATTGCACCAGTACAGTTAATGAGCAACCTGTACTTGTGTGCTTGTTTGTTCTGTCTAAAATGTTTATTTTGGAATAAAGAGGTTAATATAAAAAATATTTTTTGTCCGATTCATCGATTAATCGAAAAAATAATAGTCCGATTCATCGATTTTTAAAATAATCGTTAGTTGCAGCCCTACTTTCCAGTCGAATTAATGAGGAGAAACATTATTCCTAATCTATGTAAGTCTCTGCTTTCACCTTTGGGGAAAATATTTATTTGTTAAATATCAAATTTCCTGATTTTAAAGGACCAAAAAAGAAATGCTAAAACGAAAATAAAACACACAAACCGCATTAAGCTATTAGAAGATACTTCTAATACTAATAAACTCAGTAAACACCTGAATTAGTCCTAAAATCTTGCACCATTTCTGATCTGTAAGATTATTTCCTACAAACTCCTGCGTCTCAGACAGATAATTACCCACAAAATAACGAGCTTCACATCAAGCAGCTGTCACGTAGCATTTGCCCCCGCGCTCTCAGAAACAGTCCTGCTGGCCCAACGGAGCAGTGAAATAGAAACTGTTCTGACAAAGTGTCAGCAGAACAGAGAAAGCAGGTGAAGCAAAGTTTAATAGGACAGGATTCAATCCCTGCAAAGTTTTGGGTGAAAAGTTGGAATTCAGACAACTATTTACTGAATAGAACTTGCACCAAGTAAGACGAGTAGGTCAATTTATTATCTACTTACTACACACATGTTGATCTCTTTAGATCTACGGCCTTAGTTGAAGACTACTAATACAAAAACTGCACTTAGTTTTATCTATATGTATAAAGAGTCAAATTACAGAACTAAAAATCTAAGGGCACTTTTAAAGGTCAAATAGATAAAATCTTTGACCAGTTATACAAAATACAAATAACCCTGATATCAATGGAAATGAATCCAATATGATTAAGTTATAAGTCAGGTTCAGACCCAGTTATAGAGACCAAATCAATAATTTCAACAATAGATAAAGAGCTAAACATTGATCCCTTGATGCTTTTTGATTATTATTTGATTTACAGTTTTTTGGTCAAAGGCAGTCATCAACTTTGCTGCAATCACTGATTCTGAGCATGTATTTGGCGACTGAGCAAAGGAACAACCCACTTTGGATTTTAAGAAAACAGTAAATACTTTTTCTTATTGAGAATCTATATTTAAAATAACGTTTTTTTCTTTAGTTCAGTTCTCAACAATGCAGAATATTTTACTTTGAAGTATTTAATCTGCCTTCCTATGATAACTCTCCAATGAAAATCATTAAAATTGTAAAAAAAACAAAAAAGACAAGTAATTAAATTAAATTTCAATTCAGTTTATTTATATTGCGCCAATTCCCTACATACGTTATCTCAAGGCACTTTAAAATTCAACCGGATCATACAGTAAGACTGATTCAAAGTTTTCTATTAAAAGAAAACCAGCTGATTGCATCGACTCATTGACTCAGAGGCAATCTCTCACACCAAGCATGCTTGTAGTGACAGTGGAGAGGAAAATTTTCCTTTTAACAGGAAGAAACCTCCAGCAGAACCAGGCTTGGTGTCCAATATAGATCTGGTTAGTTTATTCTTTCCATTGCAAGAAGTAAAGAAGGGGGTGGGGGGGGGGGGGGGACATGAGTCCAAAATAGGAATCAGGTTGCATTAATTCTGTGATACTCATGTCAAATACAGAGAAATCCAAAAATTTATATTATTCTTCATCTAGTGCATCAAACTGAAAAACTCCCAGAAAAAAAAACAGCTTGTATTTTGATGCATTTCTTCTCTTTGAAAATAAGGCAGATTTGAATCAGCTGGAAACAACAGGCCAGACCACAAAGGAGGAAATTCCACATCCCAACCTTAACAATGTAAGCATAACATTCAGTATGTCTGTTTATGTGTCTCTGCCCGACAGCTGGCTGGGCATTGCTGCTGAACCTGTAGCCTGACTTAATAACTAAAGAGGAAAACTATTTTAAAAATAAACTATTACTCTCTAGTTTTAAGTACCTTTCTACCACAAATGAACTGGTTTAACATATCAGCACATATTTTACTGGGCTGTGCAATATCCAGTTTCCATTAAAATATTGGAATCCAAATTATATATATTTCAGGTTTCAAATATAGAGTTAAATAAATGCTGTAATAATGTTTTTTGTTTTGTTTCAACATTTACTGTAAATTAAGGGGCACAAACTGTTACATAATTTAATCTTTTAAATCTCTTTTCAACCTATATTTATAATCTTGATACAGTTTAAAATCATATAATACATATCTTTTTTTCTTTTCACCTTAAAAATGTTGCTAAGGTGCTTTGACCAGATAAAATAACGGTTCATTCATTTGGGTTTATTACGATGAGTTATTGTAAAATTACCAAATTAAAACGTTAGTTTGCAAATGGGCAAAGTGAGGGGGGAAAAGCAGCCAAAAGTTCAAACCTAAAATATTCTCTTTCAAAAGCTAAAACAATGTGAAGACAAAAAATATAATAATTAGCATTGGAAGTTCTAATTAGAGACATTTTCTGAACCATACGGCAATTATATGGTAAATAATCTCTCTTAAAGTAGATAATAATAATATTTTATCCTTGTTTTATTGCTAAACTGACTGGACTGGCTGTATTCCAGAGCCTCTCTGTTAGCATTAACCTCCATCTGCCATTTTTATTCACTACATCCATTTCTACTTACGTTCTCCAACCAGGAGGATCCTCACGTCCTTCCTCATGATTCAGCTCTCTCCCCTCAGCAGAAACGACTCTTTAGTGAAGCATGGAGTCTTCGCAAAGCCTTTATTCTCCTTCTCCTTCTCCTTCTCCTTCTCCTCCTCCTCCAAGCTGGAGCGGTTTCCTAACGTCGGGCCCTCGCGCAGTCAAACACCCGCCGCCTTTGTAGGACAAAACGGACAGACACTTCCCGAAGCTGCACTGCGGTCTCTTCAAGCTCCGCGTCAAGCTGCGGTTTATCAACTCATCAAGAATAGCATCTAAAGGTGTTCCTGTTTCTTGTTTATGAGTATTTTTTTCTTAATCCCACTCATTTCGGCGCCAGTGGATCAACTCGCAGTGGACGTTTCAGGAGCATGCCCGACCTCCAGCACCGGGCTGCTACAGTGAGCTGCGTAGGACAAAATTAAACTGGGTCTCGATAACAAAAGCGGTTATGCTGCCCTCTTCTTCTTCTTCTTCTTCTTATGGGGTTTTATGGCGGTTGGCAGACTTGTGAATTGTGCATTACCGCCACCAACTGATATGGAGTAAAGCAAGAAAACAGAAAACGATTCACCCCCCCCCCCCCCCAAAAAAAAAAAAAAAAAAAAAAAAAAAAAAAAAAAAAAAAAAAAACCTGTGTAACTTAAACCAACATAATACTAAATCACATTTGCCCATATAATTTTTAATTTACTCTAGGTCATCTTAACTCTGCCAGTTTCTGATGGTCCCATCGGTCCTCCCATCATACTTCCAACCATCTCCCAGTTCAAATCTTTAATGTCCAGATATTTTTCTGCAGCCTTCACTATTATTTTGATTTTTTCCGTTTTTTTTGTTGTCTGTGCAGTACAATTAATTACTTCTACCATGAAAAGAACAAAATTTGTCTTTTTAACAATAAGTGAGTCTTCATCAATTTTTTGATTCTCTAGAGGTTTGGAATTTGCCGTGTGTTGAACTGTAGGTTTGGGTTTTTCTGACTGAGATGGGATCCTTTTTGCAGCTTCAGCGTAGGTTATTCCGAGCTCAAATTTCATTTTTTTAATTTCCTCAGACCTTTTGCTTGCTTCACAGCCGCGATAAGCAGCAGTATGTTCTCCACCACAATTACAGCATTTTATTATAGCTTCTTTTCCACATTTACCATATTCGTGTTCTCCTGCACACCTTCCACACCTCTGTTTCCCTTTACAAACTGCTGCAATGTGACCGAATTTTTGGCATTTGAAACATCTCAATGGTGGAGGATTGTAGATTTTGACATTATAGCTTATGTAACCGATGAATACTTTGCTTGGTAATTGCTCTTCCTCAAATTTAATTAGCACTGATAAACTGTCAGATCTTTCTCCGTTTCTTGTTGTTTTTAACCGTTTTACTTCTTTTACTTTTGCACCGCTTATGTTTTCCAGAATCTCTTTTTCAGAAATTTTTAGAGGAACTCCTCCAATGACTCCCCTGCTGATCTTTTTGTTCTCCATTAGGCTGCACTGAACTCTTATCCCGTCAATTTTGTTGATCCGTATTGCTTTGCCTTGCTGGGCGCTGTCTCTGCAGTTAATTAGCAGGTCTCCACTGTACAGAATTCTGGCACCTCTGACTTCTCCGACAAGTTTATTGATGGTTTTTGTTAAGTGAACCGGATTCCAATTTGTAAAAGAGTCTGCCTGATTAACGACTTTGAATATGACTTTGAATTCATTTTGTTGTGCTGTGGAATGTATGGAATGATCATCACTGGATTGTTCTGAACTAGATTCCCCTTGAACTGATCTCTGTTTTTTCCGCTTTTTCTCATTTTTTGATGTTGCTATCTTCCACCCTTCATTGTCACTATTTCCCTCTTCCATCCCACAAGAATCGCTTCCTGTTTCCTCACTACTCACGGCCCAAGACATTTCTCCATAAGCAGCTTCAAAACACGCGCCATGCACCAAACGACCATCCACATCCGACCGACTCCCCTTTCCCGGAGGTCCTGTTCCTTCTAATCTATGCTGCCCTCTGGCGTCAATTTAGAGAATGTCTCTTTCCGTTATTATTTGCTCACGGCATGAAAAGAATTTCTTGCGTTATATAAAACCACCACTAGGAGGCACCAAACAACCAAACAGGCAGTAGAATTGTAACCATGCGTTTTGAACAAATATAAATGTATGAATTAATATATAAAATAGTGATTAGAATATATCAGCATAAATTGTATTAATTATAACATTTTATGCCGTGTTTGTTATAAAACGTTACACATAAAAAAGGGTTAATACTACTTATGAGTATGCACATTTCTTTCTTTAGCTATGATCCTGATCTGTAATTGTGGATAATTTATGCATGGTTGAAAATGTGTATAAAGACAAAATAATAACAGACAGACTGAAGAAGCTTCCCTAGTTAAGCTGTGACCAACATCTCATTTATTTGACAGCATCTCCTGAATAAAAGAGAAAGACTATATGAAACAGTTTTTCTACATATTTCATAAAATAATGAAATATTTAGATTTGGGTTACCTAGTAGCTGTGATATTATTGAAGCATTGGGTTCATAATATTCCTGAAACATAAATTAGTTTTTTGTATGTTTATTTTCTACTTTTCAAAAGAAGTAAACTTTTTACTTGTTTCAACAGCAGACAAGGCAAAACTATAGAAAAAAACACAATTAATTTTTTTTTATTTAACAGTCAATAAGTAATTATATTCAATAAATGTATTTTAATGTTAAATGCCCAATAAAAAAATATATTTACAGAATTCTTATTGAGATAATTAGAAATAAAGGAATGTCAGATCACCATGGTAACGTAAAACAACTGTGTTAAAGTATCAGTAAAATATCAGATGATTATGATGTGGCCTTTTTAAACCAAAGACTTAACATCATGTCAGTAGGATCTAATAGGAGACAGACATTCAGGTATCCAGGTCTTGGATGCAGTCTTCTGGAGTACATCCCAGCTGTTACAGTTCTTTGTTTTCATCTCTTGTACCTTATATGGGCTTCAGCTGGAAGAAAAAGAAACATGTTGGAGTTGAGGAATGACTTGAAATATGCTGAAATTCATAAAAAAAGAGGATTTTTCTACAAATTGAAGAGAGATCTAAATTCATTTTGACAAACTGTGTTGGTTTTCCTCATTTGTGTAAGCGTTAGACTGGATCAGTTGAAAAGATTGTCTTTTCATTAACAATTTCTCTATCAAACATTGGAACGCCCAGTTTTATAGAACATTTCTAGTTTTTCTCACTCAAGTTCTGCCTAAACCTCTTTCCAAACCTAAATTTGACACCGATGATGAAAGCTTAGGTGTTTGATGGTTGTGAAAAGGATATTAGTCAGAGCTACAATGATGAAACAAGAAACGTACAGATAAGAAATGCATAGATTAATGAATTAAAAAGATGAATTAAAACAGTTAATGTGTTTAAAAAGGAAACCATTGAACTTTAGTTGTTCTTGTAAACTTTTCAGCTTCCTGTTCATGATTAATGTATTTAAAAAAGAAAAACATCATAGGGTATTTTTAATTGGAAGTCTACAGTTTCAGTCAGACTTTCACAAACAGACATAAAAAACTCAGAGAAATATATATTTAAGTTGAGATTTTAATAATGCATTTGGACTGATTGAATATCATACACATCCTTAACTTTTTTTAAAAAGAAAATTGTTTAACAATTTAAATTAACTGATGGTTTTCTCTAATTCATTCATGATCAAGATTATGTGTACAGACCCAAACAGATATCAGTTTTCCCCAACGAGCTGCACTAACTTCAAACACATTATTATATCCATCAATACAACTCTGATGTGATGCTGGTTTATTATTCAACCACACATTGAAACTGTTTAGTTTCCTGTTTTAGGCAAAATCTCTACCTTTAGGCTTATATATTTGGAACCTTCCAGTGATGTGATATTATATAGCTTTATCATTTCCAGAAAGGGTGGGGATCTGTGTCTGGAACCACTCTCATTAGAACTGTGTCCAGGATTTAACCATCTGATCCAGAAACTCAGTCTCAGATCAAAGAAAACTGATAAGATTCAATGTGATGAAAGGCTGGAAGATGTTCCCTCATACGGGGCACTGGCCACACTTAGCCAGAGTTCATGAACATGGACAAAATCTAAAAGATCCTCCTAGTGCTCACCAATACAGACTGAAGTTTATCTCCAACAAGAGAAGGATTAATCTATTTGGCCAGATTGACAGAAAAACTGTTTAGAGTAGTCAGTTAGCAGGATCATTCTGTGAGGTTTACCCTTTTGCAATGCCAATGCTACCTTACACAACGACCAGGGATAGTTATAATTATTAACAGTTTGAAACTTGGACTTTGTTGGGTGTTAGAAAAAAAAATATACCAAAACTGAGAATAAATAAAACAGGCTAATCTGGAATCATCCCGACTTCAACACTATTAAAATGCCATCCTCAAAACATGAAAGGAGACCGACAAATTTAAATAAACACTTAAAGGAAAAGTAGTCAAATAAAAGTTTTGTTAAGCATATGAAGAAATATGACTGAGGGGAAATGAACTGTAAATCCATACCCGTGCATCAAATTTTAGCTTTTAAAAACTATTAAAGCCGTGTTTGAGTATTCTGCAATTCTGTGGGTAGAGTTATCATCTTGTAACTGGATGGTGAGCTTAATTCCAGCTTCATCCTTCACATGCCTACATGCTGTTGGGCAAGGTATTGAACCCCAGCTTGCCAACCAATGTGAGTACAGTGTAAGAATGGTTGGTTATAAAGAGTGTAGCAACACATCTAATTAGAACCGTGCTTATATATAAATGGAGCTAAAGTAGCGCAGCCTAACCAGTGACTAAATTAAATTAATCAAAACGTTGGACTAAAGGAGTGAAAGCTGGACCTTTTTATGCAAATTGTAGAATAAAACATATTAACCTCTACACTCATATTAGTTGTAAACAGAGCTTTTGTTGCAGTGTTGTTCCATGCTTGAGATATTTACAACATGGATGGTAAGTTATTATTTTTATTTGTTCAATTTAGTTCCAGTCCGCAGCATTAATTCTGCACAGTGGTTTGCAGACGTCCTTCTCTTACCGTTATAATCTTGCGGTGACATGGGCCTGGACATCACCTTTCTCAGGGCGCTCAGCCACTCTTTCTGCTCCCTCTCCTGCTCGCACATGAACACAAACTGCCTCTCAGGAGTCTGCACCGTCACCCCACACTTCCACTTGTTGCCACGTGTGTTTTGTGGGACGCACTCCTTCACAGAGTAGCCGTTGCTCTCTGTCCCGATGAAAATGACGCCTAACTCCTCTGCATCCTGTTTGAATGACAGTCATTTGGAAAAATAAATAAATCAGTAATTATAGTTAAACAGATATGTACAGGATAGCACCAAATTAACACCTAGTATTTAAATTAGAAATGTGGTCCGTACCAGTTGGTCTTTGAAGTATAGCAGCTTCCTGTTTTGAGAGTCCAAAATGAACCAGCGCTTCTTAAAAGACTCCTTCTGCTGTTTAAAAATAAATCATTTTTATTAAGAAGAATGCCTAAACATGCTCCATTAAAAGAAAGTTTTCTTCGGATTTAAATAAAAGCTGCCAGACAGCATCATATATATATCTTATTATAGATATTGTCGTGTGTATCTGTGTGTGAAAGAGGAACAGAAACATTCAAATGTACATCTCAGAGCAAATAACATCAAAAATAGCTTTGGGATGACTGGAAATTAAATGCTCCACTGCTAATAGAATAAGATATGCAAAAGCCAACAACTAACCAAAACACATTACAACGCCCCTCTCCTTCTGACTTACCAGCGGCCCCGTCTTTTCCATGTATCCCTCTTTTAGATAATTTCTTGTTATCTTTGGCACCAGCTGACACAAAAAGATAAAACAACCACTTTTTGAAGACAGTCAAAAATATAAATCAGTTTTATGTTTTACAAACTGCTTTCAAAGAAAGAATAAAAAAATCTAAGACAGTGGCAGCTGGCCAATAGCCTTGGTTAAGACATTAAAAAAAGATATTTCAAAATATATTGGTATATATTTTTTAATGTGCAAGATAAATATTCACTCTTTAATGATAAGTAAAGCTTAATTTCATTTTTCTTCGGATTGGTGACATAGTGACAAAGTTGCACATGCACAGCAGCTCCTCTGCAATACAAGTATAGGAGAGCTCTGGGCGCACAAACTGGAGGTGAAACCGTTTGGACCTGATCAGCTGAAAATCAAAATTAATCAGCAGTCCAAAGACAGATAGATATGGTACACTCTGTCTTTTTCCAGGACCTGGTTTAACTACAAGGCTTGGCTAACTGCATGCAGCGAGGCTAATGCTTTATTCTGCTGCCTTGACTACCTGCCTCCTTTTTCAAACATCAGGATCTGACCCAGCATAAAGACAGATAGGACTGATTTAAAGCACTTTTTATGGAAAATAATATAAAAGTATAATATATTTATAAATATATTTTTATTTCACATAGCCAGCTTTATAAAAAATAAAGCTGACTAATATTTGCCCTTACAAAGCCTCACAAGGGCAAGATTTATGTACAAAAAGCAAACCTTAAAATATGTTTTCTTTTTATGTTTTTTGTGTAATTGTTTTTTGGTATACACCTATATAAAATTTATAGCCCCCCCCCGGACAAAACTTCACCAGCCACCACTGATCAAAGAGCAGAAAGGTATTTAAAAAGGTACCAAACAGGAATAGGAGCAATTCAGGGTAAGTCCAGCGTTACCTCTTCATCACTTCCCGTCGGGTATGCGGTCTTCAAGTATGCATACCGAGCTGCTCGGATGGCGTTGAACCACACAACTATCTCCTACGGACAAATATAAAAAAGAAGCCATGAAATTCTGTGAAATCAAACCTCTTTAACAATAAAGCACAAAAGATGAAGGTATTTGGGTCACTCAGCTTCACCTCAGGGCTATCATGATACACATAGAGGTTCCTGGTTTTATCATCATCCTGGTATGTAAGCTGCAGCCCATGAGGATGACCAATCTTCTGTGGCTGAAAGGTGGCGTTCAGGTCTTTGATGGCAATCACAGCTTTAGGGCCTTTGGACTCCTGCATTATAAATATGTCGATATACTTAGCAATGTAGGAGATGGGGGAAGAAATAAAGCTGAAAGTGAATAAGTATTAGATATGTTTCTAAAAGGTAGAGCAGTTTGGGTTTATAATCCGTCTATGTGTCTCAATACTTCATAGAAACACCTTTTGCTGCATTTACAACTGCAAGTAATTTGCAGTACAGCTCCATTAGCTTTGATCTTAAATAAACAGACTTTTTCCCCAGTCTTTGCAAACTAGCGGATAGTGAATGAAATTGAATGGAAAAGCATCTCTGCATATTAGTTTTCAAGTCTTGTATATCTGGACTAGATTAAGCGAAGGACTTCAACTGTGCTCTTCTAACATGCTTGATGTTTAGGGTCGTTTTCCTTCACAGATTTGATTTTTTTTAATCCTCCTACATACTTTGTTCCAGTTTCCTATTATATTTAGCTCCATCCATCACTTTTTTATTGATTTATAAATAAAACACTTTACACTACCCATCATAGATAGTCTGTTCAGAGTCATTTCTTTTATTAACATGTAATCTGTTCATTGGTCCAGAACTTAATTATTGTGTTCCTTATAAAACTTCTAAAAACAGGACCCCATTTGGCTCTCTTCTTGCCACTCTTCCCTAAAGCCAAGATTAGCCAAGTGGAAGATAGAAAGTTGTCACACCAGAGTCACCATGATGGGCCTCTGATTAATGCTGGCCAATCAGTTTTGGAGGACAGACATACAGGTGCTGGTCATAAAATTAGAATATCATGAAAAAGTTGATTGATTTCAGTAATTCCATTTAAAAAGTGAAACTTGTATATTATATTCATACATTACATACAAACTCATATATTTCAGATGTTTATTTTGTTTAATTTTGATGATTACAAATGACAACAAATGAAAATCTCAAATTCATCATATCAGAAAATTAGAATATTGTGAAAAGGTTCAAAATTGATGGCCCCTGGTGCCACACTCTAATCAGCTAATTAACTCAAACCACCTGCAAAAGCCTTTAAATGGTCTTTCAGTCTAGTTCTATAGGCTACACAATCATGGGGAAGACTGCTGACTTGACAGTTGTCCAAAAGACGACCATCGACACCTTGCACAAGGAGGGCAAGACACAAAAGGTCATCGCTAAAGAGGCTGGCTGTTCACAGAGCTCAGTGTCCAAGCACATTAATAGAGAGGCGAAGGGAAGGAAAAGATGTGGTCGAAAAAAGTGTACAAGCAAGAGAGATAACCGCACCCTGGAGAGGATTGTGAAACAAAACCCATTCAAAAATGTGGGGGAGATTCACAAAGAGTGGACTGCAGCTGGAGTGAGTGCTTCAAGAACCACCACACACAGACGTATGAAAGACATGGGTTTCTGCTGTCGCATTCCTTGTGTCAAGCCACTCTTGAACCACAGACAGCGTCAGAAGCGTCTAAAGAGAAACAGGACTGGACTGCTGGTGAGTGGTCCAAAGTCATGTTCTCTGATGAAAGTAAATTTTGCATTTCCTTTGGAAATCAAGGTCCCAGAGTCTGGAGGAAAAGAAGAGAGGCACTTCATCCACGTTGCTTGAAGTCCAGTGTAAAGTTTCCACAGTCAGTGATGGTTTGGGGTGCCATGTCATCTGCTGGTGTTGGTCCATTGTGTTTTCTGAGGTCCAGGGTCAACGCAGCCACATACCAGGAAGTTTTAGAGCACTTCATGCTTCCTGCAGCTGACCAACTTTTTGGAGATGCAGATTTCATTTTCCAACAGGACTTGGCACCTGCACACAGTGCCAAAGCTACCAGTACCTGGTTGAAGGACCATGGTATCCCTGTTCTTAATTGGCCAGCAAACTCTCCTGACCTTAACCCCATAGAAAATCTATGGGGTATTGTGAAGAAGAAGATGCAATACACCAGACCCAACAATTCAGAAGAGCTAAAAGCCACTATTAGAGCAACCTGGGCTATCATAACACCTGAGCAGTGCCACAGACTGATCGACTCCATGCCACGCCGCATTGCTGCAGTAATACAGGCCAAAGGAGGCCCAACTAAATACTGAGTGCTGTACATGCTCATACTTTTCATGTTCATACTTTTCAGTTGGCCAACATTTCTATAAATCCTTTGTTTTTATTGGTCTTCAGTAATATTCTAATTTTCTGATATGATGAATTTGAGATTTTCATTTGTTGTCATCTGTAATCATCAAAATTAAACAAAATAAACATCTGAAATATATGAGTTTGTATGTAATGTATGAATATAATATACAAGTTTCACTTTTTAAATGGAATTACTGAAATCAATCTACTTTTTCATGATATTCTAATTTTATGACCAGCACCTGTACAGTAAGAGCAGCGACTCTTTCAAAACTTTGAAATATTGTTCTTTAAGTTATCCTTGCTTTAAACATCCTTCTTTCTGACCTGTCTGCTGTGCTTCTTGATCTTCATGAACATGGAAGGTTTGTTTACAACTGTTCTCTAACAAACACCCAAAACTTTTATAGAACAGCTGAATCTATTTCTATTTATAACCCAGAAGTCAGTTCTTCTTCCACCTGACAGCTCTGCAGTACTTAATTATAGGAGTATCAAATTAAATCCCTGAAATAAATCTATTAAGACTCGTGGTGAACAAGAGGTATGAATAATACAGAGAGACACTGAATTCAACTTGTTTAATAAAAGATAATAATCTAATTATTATTTTTTTTTTTGTGCATCTGAGAACTCACATCTTCCTTGTTGTAGTAGGACAGGGTGAATTCCCGCTCTGACAGAACAAACTTCCTCTTCAAAAACTGCATGTTCTCTTTCCCTTTCTTCCACAGGAGTCCTTCGTGGAAACCTGGTGCAAAAGCAGAAAGGAGAAGGGTCAGATGCTTTATTTCACCCTGATCACTCCAAGGGTGATGACTTAATTTCTTTTTTTTTAACACCCAGCCCAAAAAGAGTAAGTAATTAGTATATCATTACAGCTAAATCTACAGTAAAACCGGTTTCCCTGAGATAGTTTTATGAGGAACCATGCTGTCAGCATAATAATGTGCACCAACAGGGTAACAATAGCCGGCCGTTATGTTCTAATGTGTGCCTATAAGCATCCGATTTCTCACCTGTTGTATACGCCAGAGGTGGATACTTGGTTTCTCCTGTGAATTCCGTCCTCTGGTATTTAGCTCGGATCCACTGGTCCCTCAGGACGCTGCAGTTCAAAATGAGATAACAGTCTCTCGCATTTTTCTGCGGTAACGCCAGACAAACCTGCATCAATCACCTTTGATCTAGCAGGAGGCTTTCATGCACATTTCACTTCTACAGCCTGCAGTTGCACTTCTCTCTATTTTCTGTGGTTGCGCCCATGTCAGCAGTCTGTTGTCGATTATAAACTAGCAAATGTTTCACCAGTGAAACGGCAGAGAAGAGTTTCATCACACTTCTTACTTGCAGTCGTTTTCCTGGGGTCGGTAGTAGTAGGGTGGAACAGCTTTCTCATAGACGGCTCGGGCGCTGGCATTCCCATTCGATCTCATGAACTTTTTATGGCGCAAAGAAAGAAAACAGGTTAAAGTTACAAGTAGCCATCTTTATTAGAACCAATGAGAAGATCAGGCTCATACCTCGACTAGATCATCCTCCCAGAAGTCCAGCCGGATTGATTTGACCCGGCTGGAGAGGCTGCGATGGATCCCAGAGCAGTTCAGGCATACAAACACACCCAGCTTGTAGGAAGCCCAGTCTGGCTCTGAAAAGAGAAGAGGATTTTCTTTTTGTCCTTAGGTAAGGCAGATGTTGAGGCTGCTTAGTACTGCATCCAAACACAATCTGAATTTAGACATTAGGAAAGCTTTTAGGCTTGAGAGGTTTTATGAAGTTCAACATGGTTGGATAGTTTATTTGCTGAGCAAAGCTACAGTAAAACATTTACTGAACCATTTAATTAAAGAAATACGAGAGTAATAACTCTAAATTCATAGTTGGTTATGTTTTAAACTCTAAACTTAGACAACAACAGTAAAGTGAACTTTATTGTTATAAAGTGTAGCAGGGATCAGAATGTAAACAGTGTAGGAAAAAAGAATACCAGTTTAAAAAATAATGGTGCAAAAGAGCATTGATATGAAGAGGTTCAGTGCAGCGCAAAAAAAATATGTTGTAAAATGCAGTAGAACATTGAGTTGTGTCCTATTTAAAAGGACTATAAAGTTTCAGCCACTTAACTCGTTGATAATTATTGGTTAAGACTGGTTTAGAGCGAATGAGCAATGCTTCGTTGCCTCAAAATTTAGAGCCTAGATATGAGCAATGATGTCACACCCTAACGTTTCCAGACAGACAACCTGAATAAATACTTCAGAAACAGAAGGCGTTTAGTACTGTGTGCTGCTAATTAAAGGAGACAGTAGAATCGCTTTTAAATAGTTAACATTTTAACCACTTTATACCCATATATGCTTGCTGGACGACCTCTAACAGCTCATATTTCGACATTAGGAAGACTTTTTACTGCAAATGGTTGGACACATGAAATATCCAACCTTGATCTCAGAGCTTCTCTACATAAAGATCTGAATGTAAGCTCTAAGATGAAATGATTCACCTCGTGGTTTGCTTATATGGTGGGACTATTAACATCTGCCCAGACTAATCAGAAATGCAGACATGTATTGATGTTATGTTATTACATATCTATAACTGACACCTGTACAGCTGCACAGAAGAAGAAGCTTCTTTACCAATCACAGAGAGAAGTGCTGATAAGGAGCAGGCCAACCTTATTTTTCTGAATTCATTTAACACTTTCTATGCTTTCCCACCATCAGCAAAAACTAATTGAAAGACAACTATTCACAAACTGATTGAAGAATAGTGTTTCGCCAATACTCGATACCTGGCTGTGCAGTATTTGCCAATACCGACACCATTTGTTTAAAAATTGATGTTTGTGTGTATATATGAAGAACTGCATACTACTTGGATAAAATAATAACCATCATGGCTTTGTCAAGCTGCTGCCTATCTTTGTAAAGCAGCAAAAAGACTAATACAAAGTGAATCCAGTCGACCTTTTTCTTCCCTACCTGGAATGGGTGACAATAATTGAATTTTGGCTCTCAAAATGGCTCTCAAAATGGTATCGGTGCCCTATTTGTTGTTACGCGCCGATACCACCATTTTAGTCATGGGCGTAGGATTGCATAGGGACCATAGGGACATGTCCCTACCAAAATTTTGGACCGACTTACTTGTCTCTACCAACTATTAGATGTGAATAACATGTTTATAATTTACAATACAGCTTTGTTGCAGCATTAGAGGGGATGGAGAATATTAAACGACAAAAAAAATGTTTGTTCATATTTTTTTTTACAATGGTATTGTAATGGAATTGGTATAATTCCTACTCTAAGTGGGTCGCTCTGTGAGCTGAAGACATGTTTTAGAGTCTCTATAGACCAGTTAACGATTAATCGTTTACTAAATTTGTTGACATTTCAATAATCGATTATTCCGATAAATTGTTTCAGCCCAAGATAAAATACATGATATGGGTTAAAGCTACAGTGTGTAATTTTCAGCGACATCTAACGTCCAGACTGCAGACCGCAGCAACATGAACATCTCCCCCCCACCGCTTCTCCCCCCCAACAGTACGGCGAGCGTTACGGGACAAAATGTCTTCCATGACGTCCGCATCACCTACCTTCTCAAGTGATGAGGTTTGTTTACATAGATAATTTTACAGATAGTATTTAATTAGTCTGTGTAGGGTATAGATTTCATGTAGACTTAAGATAATAAATATACCCATAATGGGCGATCTCGCAATCGCTAGTTTGTTGGCTCTCCGCTGCCGTAGCGCAAAGATGTCTGCCTCCATGGCTGCGAGACCCGCTCCTATGTAATTATAAATAACGAATTCTAAGGCAACGCAAATATTAAGGTTAAGAGGCTGAGCTCGTAGATGATGATAAATAACATAGTTATGTATAATATATTACATTTCTGACTGTATATCCCTGTAATTATTACACACTGTAGCTTTAAATAGAGTAACTATACAATAAATTCATTTGGTGTCCCTTGAATCTATTATTTTGCTTGTTTCATGAGAATATTTAAAAGATAGGTTTTGGTTTTACCTCTCTACAATTGTATATCTTCAAAAGAAAAACAGGATAAATCCACATATAACAGACATATTTAGACTATATTTTGTTAAATAGGCACAGATTTACTTTCTGTCTTTGTCGCTGGTAAGCCGATGATGCTTCAAACATTCATAAACAGCATCTAGTGTGTGTAGCGCTTATAAAATTTTTACAAATGTAGCAAGAAATGCTGCTTTTCTCTTTAAACAAAATACACCCTGATTTTCATGCCAAGCATAAAAAACAGAGCATACATAATTTTGCATAGAACCAATAACATCAAACCAATAGTGTCCCTACCAAAGTTGAAATCAAACCTATGCCCTTGATTTTGGTGCTGGATCGGGACCCCACCCAATACTGGTATTGGTATCGGTGCAACACTAATGAAGATTAGAGTTTTGTTTTTTTATTTATCATTGGGATTCTAATATCTCCAAGTTGGCAAAAAGAAACCACATTCTTATCCTCGTCCAAAATGTAGACACAAATAAATAGTTGTTGGGGCTCCTATATAATAAACTTTTATCTCTAGGGTTGTTTATCAGATTTTTTATTGATTTTTTATTTTGAAATGTATGTTACAGAAGAAACTCTTATTGACAAATAGTTCAAGAGGATTGGATATCAAACAGGCCTATAAATGTTGAATTTCTAAGACTATTAGCATTCTAAAACATTTACATTTTAAAACATCCTTAAAACATTATTTCCTATAAACTATATTTCCCAGCATATTTTATTAACCTGAGGTTGTTAAGTCTTTATAGCAAAAACACTAAATGATTAAACCTGATGCAGCCTTGTTACATAGTTTAAACCCAGCAGAAGTGAATGACAGCATTGGTACAGACCAGAGGCCCCGCAGTCAGCGCAGCGGCTGTTCTCCGGCTGCTTCACCAACTCCAGTAAAATCCTTTTGTTTCGCTCGTTTGACATTTCGGCACCAAGTGTTGATCTCCTCTGATTCGGCTCTCGGTGCTGCGATCCGTATCTTTCATGTTGGTCTCATAGTTTAAAGCTCGGGGAGCTGCGGCTGACAGACCGTCCATAAGAAAACTGGAACTAACTGACAGAAGCGCTGGAGGTTTCGACGCGGTTGGACGCGCGCGCGCAGATACACCTCCTCCTCTGGAGCGCGTCCAGCCGCGCAGTCTGTGGGAAACAATTGGTGCTTTAGTAGCTGGAGGTTGTCCTTTTGTTACAACCTGCCTCTATCAGAGGCGTAACCAGAACATTTTTATAAGGGTGGCCAGGAAATAACCAATGGACACTGAGGGGTGGAACCAGAACCTCATGGCCAATCTACACTGTTCCAACAGGAAAATTAAATAGCAAAACATCCATATTTTCTAAAAAAAAAGACAAACTATACTTTCCTACAGCCTTTTCTGACAAATAGACAAAGGTATAGTGGATAAAACTCTTTCATTTTTGAGTTCTGGGGCGTAAATCTTTTACACTTATTATTTACCTACTTGTATCAATAAACAGTCTCCATACAATTGATATTAACACGCATTAATATATACATACATTAATTATTTGATACGTTTTTATAAAAATTGTTATTTATGATTTCACTGAAGACTCCTAGATGACTTGCAGACAGATCATTTTGGCTATGTTCCCACTGCAGCCTGAAGTGACCCAAATCCGATTTTTTTGGCCCATATGCGACCTGGATCTTTGCATGGCAGTCTGTACAACACAGATCCGATTTTTTCCAATCCGACCCAGGCCACTTGGCTATGTGGTCCTGAATCCGATATCAATCTGATCTTTTCAAATGCGACCTGCGTCTGAACAGCCAGGTCAGATTCATCCGACATGATCGTCATTAATACCCGACAAAGGTCCCTATTATGCGGCTTGCTACGCAGAAGCGGCAAGAAAAACAACAACCATGGCAGATGATGATGAGGAAAGCAGTATTTATGTTTAAACATATTGAAAAGAATGTGTGTTTATGGTTGAAAAAGACCACTAGATGCGCGCCGCCCTACCATCCATGTTTAATTACGGAAAAAAGCGCATGCTGGCCTGTGGTTTCATTGCGTCCTCTACTGCGCATGCGGGACACTTGTGTTGTATGACTGCAGTTCACACAGGAGATCACATACAAGTCGCATATATTCGGAAATATGAACAGCAACATAAAAAAAATCGGATTTCGCAAAAAAATCGGAATTGAGCATCAAGGCCTGCAGTGTGAACATAGCCTTTCTCTTTACCCCATGTAACACAAAATCTGGTTCTGAAAAGAGTATGAATTCTGAATTTATCCTCTTTGATGTTGGTATATTGAAGTGTATAGTTAACCACAAAAATTTCACTTAAGAGTATTACTGCTGCCACCATCTGTATCAGAGGGAAAAAATGGTAGGGGTTTTCAATGACTGAGGGTGGCCATGGCCACCCCTGGCCCCCCATCTAGCTCTGCCCTGCTCTAGGTTGATGATCAAAGGTCTGCCGACAAGGCATGTGACAGTTCTAGATAATGGGTTGACTTTTAACAACTATTTAAGGAGTCGAAGCAAAAGTGAAAGTATTTTTAACTTCATTTAATTTATGACAAACTTTATAATGAGACGTCAACCATGAGTAACCCAGGAGGAAAGCCTTTAAAGGACACAGATTTTATTTTACCCCTCCTAACTCTGATCCCTGAAAAAAAAAAATGAAATTGATCCTGGTAGAAGCTTCAATATGGAGTCAGAAAGGGGTCAAAATGATTGAAAATTTAGAAAACTTCGTTGAAACTGAAAAAAGAAAAAAAAATCTTCCCTCCAGCTTGAAAGAATTTATAGTTCAGTTTTGTATTTTAATCACATTTTTTCTTTATTGCTACTTCAGCTTCTTTCAGATCCAAGTCATAAAACCAGCAATATCTGATCGTTGTAATCAAAGACCAGGCTATACATAACAAAACCTAACAGCAATTTTTATATACGTAATAACAAATATATGTATATATATATATAGCAAGAAATAGAACATAAGTTCCACTTCAGCTTAAAATGTAAATGCCTTCATAAAGTTGTTTAAAATAACACTTAGTTGCATTTGAGCTCAAAAGGAATATAAAGAGACATTTATGTGTCTGAAAGGTTTATATGACAGCTCTCTGTCACAGTGTATTAGACACTTGGAAGCCATGATGGATTTTGGGATCAAGGTATGTGGGAACTTTTGTCTCTATTCCTCTTGATGTTCTTAGACCTGAAAAAGATACTTTAAATTTTCATTTTCATAATTTGTGTCAAAATAAAGTAAAAAGTAAAAAAAAACTGCTGTTTGTAGCACTACATGGAAACCTAACTACATGTTTTTAAATTATTAAGAACATCTGGGTCTAAATAACATTAATGAATTGAAAGTTCAGACCCAAGTATAATATATGCCGTGGAGTCTTTATGCTTAAAAATAATTTTCAATCTAGGGTTCACTTTTTTTTTAAAGGAAAATTGGCTGAAATTTAACTAGTGATGTTTGAAAGTGGTTCAAACATAACCACGGAGGAGCAGCTGCAACTGAACTGGTTTATCTACAAATATCAACCCAGAGGCTGAATGTAATTGGACGCTTTAAAATATTTGCATGAAATGTTAAAAACGTGTCACCTGCACCACTTTGTGGCTGTCATTTCTTCACTAAGGCTTAATTTAAAGCAGATTTTTTATGAGACGACATGCGACTACTCAGTTGTGTTAAGCATTTATTTATCCACACCAAATGAGAATTTTATACAAATTTGAGGCTTAAGAAAAAAACAAAAACACAAAGAAAATATTCTCGATGAGTGTGACAGACGTAGCTTCCTGTTAAAAGCTGCTGGTCTAAAATAAACTGAAAGTTAAAGGTGAGAATTTACACTGAACCATTACAAATACAGCGGCAGTTTGCATTTTACAAGTTTACTACAGTAAAAAAAAATCATTTTTACCAAGTAGCATGTGGTATTTGTTAAACAGTTAGAAAAATCCAAAAGCACAACAAAAAAAATGCTATTGTACAAAACCCCACATTCCAGATGAATTTAATATAAAGCTTTCTAAGCACCAACATGTAAAAAATCTAAGGTTCTTTAGTTGTGTGCTTTTATTTTCAAAGATTTTTATGCATTTAAATGTTGATCAAATAAGTGCAATCAGTCCTTCTTGTTTGTGCACATAAGAACAAGTAGTCCAAGGCTGAGGTCTGCTTTATCTGTCCACATCACCAGATACCACAACTGTTACTTCTTCCTCCTAGCACCAGACTGAGCTTCTTAGAGCTATTTATTGATGGCCCATGTGTTATCACAACACAATCTGATGGAATTAGCGGAAATCTTCAGCGAGGAACTGTAGTGTTCCTTTCTCAAGACCCAAGTGGATCGCATCGAGATAATGCAGGAACCTGGAAGAAAGGACATAACAATTATTTATTAATACGTCTTCTATCTATCAGATTAAATCTACAGCCTGTCTTCATGTATGACCAAAATCCATTTCTGCGGCCCATTTCCTACCTTCTCTTCACTTTTCCTTGCTCCTTCAGCTGTTCTGATCTGCAGATGGTTCTCAGAGCAGGTAAATAATCCAGAGCAGCTGCTTGTCTGTTGCCAAGAGTGCCGGAGACTTTAGAAACTAGAACCTCCATTATGTCCGTCCTCCGCTGGGCTAACCTGGAAAACGGGGCAGATTTTCAGCAACAAAATCCTGTAATCTGGTTTTCAGGGAGGCCAAGATGGCAGAGAGACTCACTGTGGATGGCTGAGTCCATCGTGGGTGAAGCTGTAATTTTCTCGATGAGTTGCTACTGGCAGGCTCAGCTCTTCTGCAGCCTCTTTCCTCAGATCATCATCTAGCTGCTGGATCTTATCCCAGGCATCCTTCACTGTAGCTTGGCACTTGTGGAAGCTCAGAGCCTCCACAGTGGCCTGGATCTCCAGGACACGGCTTCTTGAGGACCAGCTTCCTCTTCCAGTGTCGATTCTCGACTCATCCGTCATTCCATCTTTGACTACAGCACTAACCGATGGTCCTGTGTACACGTTACACCCATCAGGGTGAAAGAGAAGCGATGAATCCACAAAAGACATGTTGTCCCAGAAGTCAGCGATGGACTGAAGACACTGTGAGACCGGGATGCTTTTGATTTTCTCCTCTGGAGTCAGCGGCTTCCTTTTCACAGAAACAAACTTCTCTTTGGTGTCCTCTGTCTGAGGATCACTCGGCTTCTCGCAGAGAGACGGAAATCCATCCTCTGAGTCTGAATCAAAGAGGAAGCCGTCCCTTCTGGGCAGATTGTGTTTTTTATTCCTCTTCATTCTGCTGGACACTTTGACTGGGCTGCAGCTGTCTGAGAAATCCTCCGACTCAGCGGAACGCAATAAACCAACACCAGGAGGCAGCGCGTCTGCCTGTAGGGATGGGGATGATGGCAGCAGTTTAGGACTCACAGATCCAAGGTCTTGTGAAACAGAAGGATTACCCTCTGGTTTAGAGGTAGAAAGCTGTGTCAGAGGAAGAGGTAAGAGATGCTCCATGTTGGAATAGAGCAGATCAACTCCTCGGCGCCTGCTGTCTGTAAGAAGCTCCAAGCAAACGGATGAATCCATCAAACTTCCACTCTGTTAAGAAAAAAAGATATCCTTAGGTTCACCAATTCACCTTCTCTAGTGCTTAATCAGGTTCCTACCTTAAGCCGAGCGTACACTGTGCGATTTTCCCCTTCAATGCACGTATCTAATGCTCACACTGTACGACTAAACCGTAGGGTTTAGTCGTACAGTGTGAGTTCACAGCTCATGATTTATGTTCGGCCTGACGCTCTGATGTGATCTACCTGCTCACACTGTACGGCTAAAAACCACATCGCACTCAGCTCCGCAGTGAGATGGAGCTGCTCTGACTCGTCTATCCAGAAGCAAGACAAATAGAAGGGGAATATGAAGCTCACTATAGTGAACCGCGCTGCCTTTGCAATTTGTGCAATTTTATGCTGAAAGCACTAAAAAGAAAAGGCGATGACATATTTGGAAAACTGTGTTTAGATCTGAGAGGAAGAATAAAAAGAAAATCCTTGTTTGCGCATGTGCACTGAGCGATTTGCCCACGACGGTCGGGAGAAAATCGTAAGCCCCTGTACACTACACGACACACGATCAGGCTGAAAGTCGGCCCGATTGAAAGATTATCGCACGACTGGAAAATCGCCCCGAAAATCGCACAGTGTACGCCGGGCTTTATAATCCACCGCCGTCAACAATAAATGACATGCCTACTACTAATGTGCAAAGGACCATCAATTAAATTTAAATTTTAATCAAGTAAATCTCAAACTGAAATTAGTTTGAACTCTAACTTTAGGTTCATAATAATAAAAATATTAAATAAAAAAAGAGAGAAACACTTATTGGAGTTAATTTTATTTATGAAAAGAAATTTAAAATCTTAATTGTATTTTAATTGGAGTTTGGAAGCAACTTGAAGCTTGTATTTAATAATCTGTTACAGATTAAAATAGTTGCTCATTATAAAAATAAAAAAATATGAAGTGTTAGTTGTTCCTGATGTAGGCGGTCATGTTTTATATTCTTAATCCTGGATAAATAAATTCAGAAAAAACTTTAAAATTTAAGAGTGACTTTTTTTATTTATATTTAACATCTAAAATCAGTTTAAGGCTATAAGACTGAGTTTACCCTAAGTAGGTCCCAGATGTCTCTATCAGGCTCAATATTCAGCAGGCCCAGCTTGCTCTCAGTGCAGCCGCTGTCACAAGGAGGGAGGCTGGATGGGACGATCACAGACTCATCAGCTGCTTCTTTGGTCTTTGATTTCAGTTCAGATCCTGTAAGACCAGACAAGAAATGTGTTTAGGCTAATCCAATCACATCAAATTAAATATATACACATACACATAAATTGAAAGCCTGGGTGTTCAGTTCATCTTTTACCAGTTTGCACCAGATGCCTTGATGAGGGGCGCCCCCTTGCACTCCGAGCCCAGAACTGCAGCTGTAATAAGCTCTGCCTGATGTCACAGCCGTTCAGTTTGAGCAGAGCGCCGATGTCTAACGGATGCGTCCTCGTGTCCTCGGCCAGACAAAGCAGCTGCAGGTAGCTGCCCACATTCAGCTGCAGAGAAGATCCAAGAAAAACCTCACTAAATCTGATCTATTCTCTCAGATAATGTAACCTAAAATATCCTACTTACTACTGAAGGCTTTTTAAAGTGAACTTCCTCAAAGTTTCCATCAAACATGGAGCTGAAAGCTGGATCTGAAAAAAAGAGCGGTTATTATCAACACACGTCTGACGGTCAGACGGAGCCCATAAGGGTTTACTCATACTAACCACTGGTGGTGAGGATGACTGGCCTCTTGGTAGTGCTCATGAATGTCTTGATGGCAGCGAGAAATCCTGAATCATCATCAAAAATAACATCCACTTCTTCAAACAGGATGAGTGATGTGGCCATCTTCTTGCTCTGCTCCTCACTGCTCTTCTCTTTAGGGTTGCTGGCTGCTGAGGGTTTGGCCATAGAGGCTTTGCTTTTATCACTGCTCTGATTGGCTTTTACTGCTTTCTTGGATGCAGCTACAAAACAGATGGATTATCAAAACCTTTGGTTTTAACACGTATTAAAATGTGAAACAATAAAAAAAGTCAATTATTACCTGTCTGGTCAAGTTTATCAGGCTCTTTGTTGGCCTGTTTTCCAACTTGAAAGAACTTTGCTAAAGATGTTGGAGCCAGGCCTCCTTTTTTAGCCCCTCTTGGAGACTGAGGAGGCTTCCTGGGAGATGAGACCACCCTGCGAGGAGAGTTAACCTTTCCTGCAAGATGAAGATGAAAATCATTCATTGAAATATTGTAATGGAGACTGGTCAGCTGGAGTGTAATTAGAGAAGTAGTGTCCATACTTGGAGAAGATCCAGGCCTGACAGAAGTGGATCCATAGCTGTTAAAATAGGCGGGCTTGTAGGCATTCACCCCCTGACTGTCCACCTGGTGGGACTGGGTCGCCTCCTTCAGCTGCGACAGAATAAGACGTCCGCTTCGCTGAGACGACGCATTCACCTCAAACACCTAACAAGCATAAATTAACAAATGAGAGAGTCAGTTCTGTTCATCTTTGCCTCTTTTCTTCATATGAGAGGATTTCTACCTTGAAGCCCAGCTCTTGGGCACAAGCATAAACTGCAGCTGTTTTTCCAACTCCAGTGGGCCCAGTGATCAGCATTGTGTTGCACAAAGTGTCGTCTGCATCCAGGTAGTCCTCCTCTCCACAGTCCCATTCTGAATCTGAATACACACACAAAAAAAAAAACATGTATTAAAAATAAATGTGCAGCAAACCAGGAGAGGAAACGATAAACAGAAGCTAAATCTCTCACCATAGCTGCCCTCTTCTTGTTTCTTATCCTTTTGATTCTTTCTCTCTTCTCTGTCGGCACGAAGTTTCCATTCTTTTAGCCAACTAGTGATAAAAGAAACCATTGTTTATATTTTGTCACATTAATTGATTAACTTTGGATAATCTTATTAATAAATTAATGAATAACCACATAAAGTTATAAGGGTTTTTTCTAGATAGGGTATAATAACTAACAAAGATCGTCTGTGGAATAATTAACTGGAAATATATTTTTTTGGCTTCCTTACTGCTTCGTGAGCTGTTCTTCCAGTAAATGTTGTGCTTTGGAGCCTGCATACCCCAATAAACGGTGATTACTAAATTAGCTGAAATTTCTGATAATAATCGATTCATTAAAATTAATCTGATAGATTGTTTCACCACTGTCAGATCTTTTACAAAAAAAAAAAACGGAACAAAAAATGGCACAACAATATAAACACCAAAACACCAGGGCTCAGGCTTGACCCAGAGAAGCAGCTCAGAGGTTCATGGTATCCCTGTAGTTTTTGGTCATATGAGCCCAAAATTACATTTATAGCTTAAAAAGAAACAAGGTTAATCTGAGCAAAATGTCTCTACTTTAAAAGAAGAAGGAAGTAGCAGTGAGCAGTGGGAATGCTGTTCTTCAGCAGGAAATCAGAAAGCCTGTCAGAGGTAAGTACAGGACAAAAATGGAACCGCTGTTAGAGACCGCTAGAGTCAGGATGAAGGTTGTCCTTCCAACAATAAGCGTAAAAATACAACCAGATCATCATAAACATTAACACTAAAAGAATATTCATGAGTCGAGTTGAAAATACTCCATTAAGTTAGGGCCTAAATATAAACTGTAGCAAAATGTAAAAAAAAAAAAAAAGACAACCATAGCTGCTTTCTATCCAAATTAAATGGGCTCTGAAACAGATAAATAACCAAAGTTTCAGCCACCAAATGCTGGAAGCTGGTACAGATATCCTCATAGACATGTGCAGCTATAACTGCAGTGAGATCCGCTTTTATACAGTAGTGAAGATGTTGCTGAATGTGAACCTGTGTCATGCTTGTAGTTGTTCATTAAAAAAAAAAAAAAAAAAACATTGGACAAGTAAGCACTACTTTGTGTTGCTGCAGAACACAACATTTCCCATAAAATAATATGATACAGCTGGGTGAAAAGTCATCAGTATGAAAAAGTTCAAGCGGTATGAATAATTTTGTGAGATAATGTTTGAGTAACAGTGAGTCAGCATAATGCTAGTGCAGAGATTCCTCACCTGTAGAGTCTCCTCACTGCAGGCGTGTTGTCTACGATGTCCCCAGAGTGCTGAGGCTGGTATTTGTCGGTCCACGGCAACTCCTCCTTCACCCATTCTAGGGAACAAAACCACAGAATCAAAAAGAAAAATTCAGGGCCTTCAGCACTAATTTAGAGATATCCCACTTTCAACAGTTGACAAGGCTGAATGAGCTCCTATTCCATTCATAATACCCATCATCAAGCTCTGCAGGGGCTTGTTAATAAAAAATAGCATTTGATTTAGTACAAGATATCTGAAACACGCTTTCACTTAGGAGTGACAGGACTCAGCTGGATTAAACAAAGGTTGTTGTTTTGCCATTACTTTTCCTGCCACAAGATGGCAGCAGAAAGCAGTCAGCTAATCCTGAACGGCCTGATGGAGATTATGCAAAATAATAATAATTGCATAAAATTAATATTAAATTCATATCTTTTATTGGATAGCTAATCTTGATCTCCACGCCTTTTTCTATCAGCTATATTTGTTCTAAATAAAGTCACATCACTACATAGAAAGACAGACGCCAAGAAAATAAACTTTGAAATGACTCATAACTCATGCAATCAAAACACTTTAACTAGTAAAAAATGCATTTAAGTCCGGGTTTTTATTTACCTTCTACACTTTTTATAATAAGCTAAAAATAAGCTTAAAAGATATAAAGAAACACACCTGCTCTTTTAGTATCTGATTCCAGCTTTAAGTCGTCCACTAGAACCCCAGAATCATCTTTACAGAGATTCAGTGTAGGCTTAAGTTTCTCCTTCATCTCCTCCTCTTCCTCCTTAGTTTTTAACCTCTGAGTTCGTCTGGTTCGTCCTCCTCTTCTAGGAGGCTCCTGTTCAGCTGTGGAGGTGTTCTCCTCTGAATGGAGGGACTTCTGCTTCTTAGCCACCTTCACATTATTCTCCCTCTCATCCCCCTTCCTCTTCCTCTTCCCTCGAACCGCTTCATTCAGCACAGGAGGGCAGACATCTTTGCTCACAACAGCTGGCTCTAATAATCAGACACAATGGTTAGTTACTATAACTGGCATTAACGATTTTATGGAGTCTTTCTACTATGAAGGATATAGTCATTTCTTTTTCAAATTCCAGTATTTAATAAGGGATTAATAAGATAAACTTACCATTTCTCTTAAATTATTCAATTTAAAATTGCCCATTTTAAATATGAAATTTTAAATAGCTGGTTTTCTTTTTCAGTGACTCTCATAGTATTGAGTTCTCCATAGCAAGATGATGCAAGAAGAAAACTAAACCAGTATAACAAATTAAGCTGTTCTGAGTTACACTAGATGATAAAGAAATAGAAACCAGTTTGTTATGTATGACAGCTACTCTATATTTTTAACAGCACTGAAAGGTTGTTCTTTTGCAATCCAACGTTTTTAATGACTTACACATTGGAATTAGGGATGCACGATATAATCGGCCCCCTATCGGTATCGGCCTGTATCGGCCTTAAAACTGAATATCGGACATCGGCCACCCCACCGATATTTAACCCGATATTTGATCAGCTTCTGAGTTTCTAAAGTCTAAAAAAATAAAATAAATAAATACTACTTCTTCTTCTTCCTCAAAAACTTCTTTTTTACAGACTTAAAAACTTCTAAAAACGAGGGAAAAAATATTGATACATTAAAATATCACAATATCTTCATATGCTGATATATTGCCATTTAAAAACACCATATCAATCTCTTTTACTAATGAAATAATACTATATGTCATCGTTATGCTACGAAATCCCCCAAAAATTCACGAAATTTTGCCATATTTTTACATGTTGATATATTGACGCGGTATCAATCTATTTTACTAACAAAATCTCACAAGAATTTGCAAAATATCACAAGAGTTTGTAACAGAACGATGAAATATCACAAGATTTTGAAAGTAAAATAGATCAATACCACGTTTTTAAAAATCAATTTGATATCAGCATATGAAAATATATATGAATATATTATTTTTCAAAGTGTCAGAAATGGATAACAAAACTGCTATTTTCAATGACTATTTATTTTTGTCCAGCTTTAACATCAGTATCGATATCGGTTATCGGCTACATGAGTTTTAAAATATCGGCATATCGGCCAAAATCCCAACATCGTGCATCCCTAATTGGAATGATACTCTATGCAGCCAATCATCCAATATAATATGTATAATATATATATTTCCATTTGAGTTTAACATTTCTATTATGCTAAATAATTACCCCTTTCAATTATTTGATAAAAAACTGAAGTTTACTTTTGTTTCAACAAATGTTTCTACATTTCCTTATATTAAAAAATAAAGTTGTATAGGGGCGGCTGTTCTAACCGATGCATTTCTGAATTCTCCCGAGTGGTGCACGACTTTACACGAGTGAATAAAGTGAATGTGATTGGTCATTTATCAAGGGGGCAGGAGTGTTGTTGTTGAAGGTTGGCAAGCAAGTTTGATTGTAGCTGGTGTCTCGGAAGCATCTTGCTAACCAGTTAGAAACTTAGTGCTAGTAGGTTCCCTATGGGAAATTCCATTGGGACCAAGTAGCACAAAGTTAGTGACTTAGAAACGACACTGTCAAGGAACTTTATGGACAGAGGAAACATGCAAGAGGAGAAGAGTTTAGTGTCGGAGGTCATGGATGAGTCTCCTCTGTTATATATTTTTTATTTAGAGAAGGATAGCGGGGACAAAGATGTTGTGGAGGACAACGCCAGGGCGGCAGAAGCTTGGTTTGGTGTAGAAGGCTTACAGTCGTACATGTTTGAGCCCTTAGTTTTGCAACGCTGCCAGTTCTGCTAGCTCTACACCTGCTGAAGACACAGACGTCCATTCCCGTGAACACTGGGACGGAACTCAATGCTAAACTAAATGATTCTTATTCCAACCATTGCTTATATTAGCTGCGACATATGAATCAAGATGCTATGAATGAAAAAATTTGATTGACAGATGACCATTGATATATGATTGGCCAAATTTAGGTGTACAGGCTGAGATATAACTAACTGGCCTGCATAAAATAATGAGAAAAAACAACACAGATTTCAAGACAGGATTTGTTTTTTAAATAAAAATTGTCTAAATTTTGGGACATTATTATCTGATAAAAAGTACATTTATATACATTTTTAAGCCAGGATGATTTGTCATTTAAACATGATTTCCCTACGACTTTTAAACAATCTAATTCCCAGTTTGCTCTTTTTTTGCACAAAAAAAAAAAAAAAAAAAAAAAAAAAGAGAGATTGCATTTAGAAAGTGTAGATTGACACAAACAATTAAATTTGATGTCTATTAAGAAAGGTAAAGCCATTTTTCCTCTCTTAAGCCACTGGGCTACTTAAGCAGGAGGTCTGCTATGGTTACTGTAGGAACTGACCTGAAGCCGTGAGCTGCTGGTGATGCTCAGCTCGTCTTTTCTGGAGCCGACTGAAAACCGTCTCTGCTGGGAAGTGAGGGTTTGTAGAGCAGAACTCCTTCATCAGAAGCTGTCGATCACCTTCAGAGATTCCAGATCTGCAGTTTGAGCCCTAAAAAGAATCTCTGCTCTTACCCCCAAAAATTCAGAGGACATAGTTGTGATAAAAACATCCTCTAAGGAAACGGTTATATCACTTTACCTTTTCATAAGCCTTTCTACCAGCTGGTTCTGTCTTTACACACAAAGACCCACTAATAGATGGAGGCTGTTTGGGTCCGTGGCTCCAAAGGTCCTTTAAATGGCCCAGCATGGTAGATTCAGGCCAAGGAAGACTCCATAAAGAACAATCTGTAGACAACACAGAATAACAAACTGATGTCCCCCAACTATTAGAGCATAATAAGGTAAACAGCTTTGAAGGTAGACTCTTACCATCAGGGGGTTGTGTAGTGTGTGAGACCGTCTGAAAGGATGAAGATGAGGCAGAGTATGCCTCCTTGGTAGCAGCAGTCTTTGCGATCTGTTTCCTAAAAGACTCGGGGAGGCCGCTCTTTAAGAACTCTCTGCGCGCCTTGAACTGCTCATCATCCTGAGAGTTTTCAGATCCTTCCCGACTGCTGTCATCAAAGATGGAGGTCACTGCTGAGACCTTGCGAGCAGACTTGTCTTGGCCCAAAGATGCTGTTTTAGGGGCTGGTGCATAGAAAACAGAGACTAGGTTACTGGAAATGTAGGTGAATAGTCAACAACAGACTGGTTGAAAGAATGAATCATTAAGTGGAGTATGCAAACTTTAAATTATTACATTTAGTGAAAGATTAAAACAATACTGAAGCAAAAACTACAAAATCATCTTCTGTAAATTTTGCTGTATCCTGAACTCCTCTAGAGGCACATTTAGCTTCAGCTAACTATAAGCATGTTTGCTATTTGATTGTTAATTCTCAAAAAATAAACAGATTGATTAATTTCCAACAATATTTGCTACTTCCAGTGCATAAATAGTGTAAAACAAAGCTGGAATAGCTTTGGGTTCTTTACCAGGAGGAGTGACTTTACCAAGGACTTCATTCAGACTTCGTAAGGTCTTCTGGGATTTAGTCTTTTCAGGCTGGCTCTGAGAAATAGCAGTGAGGTCCTGGATACAGACAACTGAATCCTGCAAAACAAACCAATGAATGATGCCTTAAACATTAACAAGAATCAAGATCTTGATCTCCTAAAGCTAAATGAACAATTTGCACCATTTAACAAAAATCTAAACTTAAAAAATAAAGCTGAAAAGATTAGGTCACATTCAGAAATAAACAGCATCCCACAAATCTGCTTCCCTTAAAGCATTAAAACAAAGCATAACTATCACTGTATATATCAATAATGTCTACAGTGGTGAGATAGTGAAGAAACGACTGATAGTGAGTAAAGGATCCAACTTTCTATTAAGGCTAAAGTAAAAGCAGTTCACACTGGAATTTGATCAAAAGTTTACATATTGCATTGCTAGAAATTGTGTTCGTAAAGAACCTCTAACAAATATTGACTAAATGAATCAGTGAGTACGGATTAATATTTTAAACATGAAGCTTCACCTCGTCTTCACAGTAGCTCTTCTTGCTGCAGGTCTTGATCCGTGATGATCGTCTTACTTTCTCCTCCTCTGTAGTTTTCCTGCTTTGCTGAATCATTTTTGCTTTCTCCACTAGTTTCTTTGCACGTTTTTGTTTTTTGGACTCATTCAGGATCTTAAAAATAAGTAAAAGATCATTAATTATAAATCAACATGACAAAAATGTGATTTATATTGGTAAAAACCTACTTGACTCTTTGAAGAAGTGGTGATGTGGTTTCCACTTTCAGTCTGAGATGCTGGAGCTGTTTTACGAACTCTGCTTAATCTCATTCTTAAAAAAAAAAAAAAATGAAGCTGCTTTAGATATTTCACATGTATTTAGTAATTTCCATGAATAAATGATGTCTGACCTGATTGGACTTTCTTTTGCATCAGGCGGACAGACCATCTCTGCCACAAAGACGCCATGTTTGGACCGCGGTGTCTTCGGCGTGGACATCTTTTTAGGGCTCTCCTGAGGTGAGGGAGGATTTCCAGCCTTCTTTGACTCATTCTGCCTCCTGGTTTTCCTCACAGGTGTGGTCGGGGGGTTTTCAGGTGACTTTCTAACTACAGTCTCTCGCCTGGACCTCCTCAGAGCTGTGACTGTAGGAGTTGAGGTGTTTGATGGCTCTTCTTCTGCTGTAATTTGGGTTTCTTTTACAGCAGGAGGTGATGAATGGATTTCCTCTTCTGTATCTTTAACTTTTTTTCTTCTCTGTTTCGCACTTTTCTTTTTGGATGCTTTGGTGTCCTCGGAGCCTCGATCAGCAGGAGAACCTGAAGCATCCTCCTCCTCTGCAGTCTTCTCCTCAGTTTGCTTCTGTTTGCTTTGGCTCTTAGCAGGTTTTGTCTTGGACCCATCCAGACTGGGCTGCTTGAAGGCGGCTATGAACTGTTTCTTCTCTGCTTCACTGGACTTCGGAGTGGATTCGCTCTCAATCACAGACAGCTCCAGATCCTCCTCCTGAAGAACCACGTTGGACCTCCGTTTGGTGGCTGAAGAAGCAGCAGGAAGCAGGCGTCCTTCCTCTGCTGGAGGAGGAGCAGACTCTGCCGGGCTTACAGCACCTTTCCTCCTGGTGAATATTGAAGCTAACTTCCCAAAAGCTTTGGTGGTTTCCTGTTTGGGTGAAACGGCATGGACCTCAGCCTTAAAGGTGAGAGTTCTGGGAGAAACTTGGAGCGGACATACAGCATCCTCAGCTTTAGGGATGTCCATCTGTTCATTGTTCACTTCTTCAACCTTTCCTGTGTTTTTACCATCTTCTTCTCCCTGGTCGTCCTTCTCGGTCTTGTTCTGACTCCGTACAAAATCTTCAAAGGAGATGGTTAGTGTGCTGCTGTTTAACTGTGAGGTTTTATCCTCGCTGATGTCACATGGTGACTTCTCTGCCTTCTGCTCTTCCGGCTCTGGATGCTTCGTCTCATTTTGTTGTATCTTTCTTGTTTTTCTTGGAGCCTTTTTAACTGCTTTTACTTCAACTTTCGGAGATAATGAAGTAGTGTTCAGCTTTGAATCAGGAATGCCACTTTTTTCAAATTTTGGATCACTCTCTGGAGGGGACTCTTTTCCCATCTGCTTGTTACAGACAGTTTTACAGATTCCAGGTATTCCAGATTCACATGCGTCTGCCTCAAGCTTTGACAATAAAGCTGCCGTGTCACTGCCAAGGGCCCCACGACAACCAGCTACTGTGAGGTCTTTGCTCTCTTGTGTTTCTTCAACAATATAACAGCTGTCATCATCATTGGAAACAGCAGCTTCAGTTGGAACAAGTTTCCTCGCAGCCCTGCTGGCTTTTCTGCCCCGTTTTTCAGACGACTTTTTCCCCACTTCTGTGTTAGCTTGTTTTTCTGCAGACAGAGATTTCTGACGGTTTTCTTTGAGGTCTTGCGGCGGACTTGACTTTTCTTTAGAGGACGGAGCTTTTCGGCTGAAGTAGTCCATGATGTTATTGGAGCGAGGAGGAGAAAAGGGTTTCTCCACTGGTTTGGGAACAGGAGAGAAGTAGTTGGTGATCGTCTTGACAACAGGGCTGCTGCCATCTTTGCGAGATTTTTTGCAAGGCTGTAAACAGAGAAAACAAAAACAGACAAGGCAAATTATTAACATTTAAGACAAAGTCTTATGTCCTCCCTTATTTCTTATTAAACTTCCAGTTGCTATCTAAATGAAAAAGGGAATCATCAAAATAAATGTCAACAATGCATTTAGGTACAGACAAAAGGAGAACTAATTCATGGGTGTTTCAATTAGTGTAGGTGCAACTTTCAGATGGTAGGATCAGATTTAAGTGTAAGCAACAGGTAGGATGGAACCATCTGAGGTTGTTGGTGGTATTATAATGGAGATTTTGCCAAATTTTGGGTCTTGTTTAAAAGTAGGATAATGCAACATGTCAAATGGCTCATTTTCACCCAAAGCTGGCCTCTTGAGCATCACAGAGTTCATTGTGCCTAAAAAAAAAAAATCCCTCCACCATCTCTAAAAATCAATCTGACAGAAAAAAGTCAGGATAAAGACTTATGCATAATGGGCAGCAGACACATTTCCAGCAAATATTTATGAACCTAAAAAGGAACATTTCGTATAGAAATCTTCAGCAGAAACTGCAGTTCTGTGAAAAAAGGCCAATACATTAGCAGAATACTGCAGCTGTTATTGGGGCCAGTATATATTATATCAATAAACACAAATGTTTTCCCTATTATGTGTCTCGATTTTGCCCTTTACAAAAAACTAAAAATAAAAATAAATCTATAAAACAATTAGTTCATCCTACGCCTTAGAGCTGAAAAAAAATTGTAATATCATCACTAATTCCAACTATGACACTAATAACTACAGTATGATTCCTACCTGAGTGTCAAAGTCCTCAATGACAGAAGCCATAGCCACAACACCAGCCATAATTCAAAGAGACCTGGAAAAACATTTAAATGTGTAAACATTTTCAAACAGCATAATGTTACTTTACAATAATCATATATTTATATCAACATTTATCATTAGGTCTCATTAATGGTCTATACAGTACATTTATTTCTCTGGTATTTTATGCATTGGGATGAATCCTTCAACTTTAAATAAAGAATAACAACATTAACAACCGATATTTAAATAATAGCCAGTTAATAAAAACTACTTAAAATGTCCAATAATACAAGCAGGCAACATTAATACTAAACAATTTAATAATCTATGTATCTTTGTTTGCAAAAGTACATTAGAGCTATGAATTATAAGGGCCCAGAGAGTTCTCTTTCTCTAGTTTGGTCTTAAATGACTGCTTGATGCATAAACAGCAAAAGAAAACACTCACCGATATGTTAAACGCTGACACGCTGGAACTCTTACGGCTGCCGTCTTATTAATTCTCCTTCACTGCTTTGTGTTTAAATACAGAAAGGACTTTCCATCCATTGTTAAGAGAAGAAAACCTTTCACCAGCAGGTTTCGGTATAAAACAACAAGCTATCTAAGACTCACAGAAGCTCTACTCTGCGCAGCTCCTGGAAGTCCTCGGAACATTTTCCAGTTTAGAAGCTCGTGTCCCTGCGAAGTTTGCGGCTCCTTGCGCTAATATTTTAGGAGAAACTCGGAGCTGGAGGGTTTTCTGACATTTTTCTGCAGCTTCAAAAACGCGCCAGACTACTAGGGAACGAAGAGCGCCAAATATACATGACCTTTGACGTGACTTCCTCGACCAATCACAGGAACGAAAAACCCTCCGTCATCGTCTGACGAATACGACCCAAAACAAAGATGGCGCTTGATGTGATTCGTTTTGAGGAAGTACTGCCGATCACAGCGACCTCTAGCGGCTAATAGAACGGCCCGCCACAATTTTATATCAACAAACACAGACTTTGTGTTTATTGACAAACAAACACACATTTTTACAGATTTGGTGATCTAAGTTACCCCGAAATCCCACATACTCCGTCTGCGCTCCGCTCCGCTCCGCCCCGCTGCGCTCCAGACCGCCTGCACAAAGCAAAGCCTACAGCCGCCGCTGTGGCTCCGTCCCCTCCTCTCTGAGTTCCTTGGAGATCGTAGAGGGCATGCGCCAGATGAACCAGGGTTCTTCTTCTTCTTCTTATGAGATTTTATGGCGGTTGGCAGACTTGTGAATTGTGCATTACCGCCACCAACTGATATGGAGTAAAGCAAGAAAACAGGAAACGATTCACCCCCCCCCCAAAAAAAAAAAAAAAAAAAAAAAAAAAAAAAAAAAAAAAAAAACCTGTGTAACTTAAACCAACATAATACTAAATCACATTTGCCCATATAATTTTAATTTACTCTAGGTCATCGTAATTCTGCCAGTTTCTGATGGTCCCATCGGTCCTCCCATCATGCTTCCAACCATCTCCCCGTTCAAATCTTTAATGTCCAGATATTTTTCTGCAGCCTTCACTATTATTTTGATTTTTTCAGTTTTTTTTGTTGTCTGTGCAGTACAATTAATCACTTCTACCATGAAAAGAACAAAATTTGTCTTTTTAACAATTAGTGAGTCTTCATCAATTTTTGGAGATTTCTCTAGAGGTTTGGAATTTGCTGTGTGTTGAACTGTAGGTTTGGGTTTTTCTGACTGAGATGGGATCCTTTTTGCAGCTTCAGCGTAGGTTATTCCGAGCTCAAATTTCATTTTTTTAATTTCCTCAGACCTTTTGCTTGCTTCACAGCCGCGATAAGCAGCAGTATGTTCTCCACCACAATTACAGCATTTTATTTTAGCTTCTTTTCCACATTTTCCGTACTCATGTTCTCCTGCACACCTTCCACACCTCTGTTTCCCTTTACAAACTGCTGCAATGTGACCGAATTTTTGGCATTTGAAACATCTCAATGGTGGAGGATTGTAGATTTTGACATTATAGCTTATGTAACCGATGAATACTTTGCTTGGTAATTGCTCTTCTTCGAATTTAATTAACACCGATAAACTATCAGATCTTTCTCCGTTTCTTGTTGTTTTTAACCGTTTTACTTCTTTTACTTTTGCACCGCTTATGTTTTCCAGAATCTCTTTTTCAGAAATTTTTAGAGGAACTCCTCCAATGACTCCCCTGCTGATCTTTTTGTTCTCCATTAGGCTGCACTGAACTCTTATCCCGTCAATTTTGTTGATACGTATTGCTTTGCCTTGCTGGGCGCTGTCTCTGCAGTTAATTAGCAGGTCTCCACTGTACAGAATTCTGGCACCTCTGACTTCTCCGACAAGTTTATTGATGGTTTTTGTTAAGTGAACCGGATTCCAATTTGTAAAAGAGTCTGCCTGATTAACGACTTTGAATATGACTTTGAATTCATTTTGTTGTGCTGTGGAATGTATGGATTGATCATCACTGGATTGTTCTGAACTAGATTCCCCTTTAACTGATCTCTGTTTTTTCCGCTTTTTCTCATTTTTTGATGTTGCTATCTTCCAACCTTCATTGTCACTATTTCCTTCTTCCATCCCACAAGAATCGCTTCCTGTTTCCTCACTACTCACGGCCCAGGACATCTCTCCAATGAACCAGGGTTTCCGCGGATCATTAAAAATAATTACAATTAGTAATTCTTTTTTTAATCAAGGCCTTAATTGGCACTAAAATTAATTAAATATGTTTATCGTTGCATTTATGATTCTTTAATAAAAATGCTTCTAAAAACAATTTCGTCAGATATTATATCGCTATTAATTTGCGTGGAACTGTTTATAAAGCCGTATGTTCGGAAAGGAAGCTCGAGGCGGAGAAAAAGCTAGAGAATATATATACGTATATATGTGTGTGTGTGTGTGTGTGTTTACATACATACAGGAGTCAAGGAACTCTGCTTACAGATCCTTCATATTTCATGTACACTAATAACTTGTGTACATGGTTCTTGATGATGGCATTAAAATCATTTCTAATAGCATTAAAATAGCATTAAATTAGAGTCACTCATTCCTGTATGAACCCTGTGAGCGCTTAATTTAATATGACATATTAAAAAAATCCCACCATCATCCAGCATATGTTCAGTTTCTGCCCAAATATATATATATATATATATTTGTAGATTTTTGTAACAGAGATAAGGATAATTCAAAACTGCTTTTTTTTTTTTTATGAACTTGTTCTCTACAACTAAGCATCTCTTTTCATTCCTGTAATAAGAAGCTTCTTTTGAATGGATTTGATTAAACTTTAAGTCCCTCGGTATAAAATAAATATTTTGATGGAGATGAGAAATCTGCTTCCTCGTTGGTGAATAACCAATAGTTTGGATCCAATCATTTAAATAAACGGTGTTAGTTTTTTTTTTTTTTTTTTTTTTTTTTAGATATTTATAGGAATTGTGCTATCTATTCACCAATCTGTTGCTACTATATTTTAATTTGACGAACCGGAATTTGTCGATGTTCTTTTTCCTGTTTGGTGCGATTGCAATTGCGGATCTTGACCTGGCCGGACCGGAGCGGAGCAAAAAATAGCTCGGCTCCGTAATTTGTCGGTGACGGAGGGAGAAGACGTACGTGGACGGAGACGTGCGGAGGAGTAGCGGTGGATGTGGAACAGCTCTCATTGATTTTCCACGAAAGACGGAGTATGTGGAATCTGGGGGTTCAATAGGGGATTAATGTGACAAAGAATTGCGAGTATAATCATGTGTTTTCAGCTATATAATAATAATAATAATAATAATAATAATAATAATAATAATAATAATAATAATAATAATAATAATAATAATAATAATAATAATAATAATAATAATAATAACAGATTTAATATATACTGCACTTTTCATCAAAAAGACCTCGAAGTACTATAAAAGAAAAGCATTTAAAAAGAAATACATAATATATATATATATATATATATATATATATATATATATATATATATATATATATATATATATATATATATATATATATATATATATATATATATATATATATATATATATATATATGATGCAGTTTATTGATCAAGCAACAAGAACGCAAATAAAGCAAAAAAGGAAATAGACAGGCAATGATCTATAGTAACAAACCAACATATAAAAAAAAGGAAAAATTAAAATAAAAAACAGAAAAGTGTGAAAATTATAAAACAATATAAAGAGATGGATGCCCTCAAAGAAAATATGAGCAAATAAGCCCTTTTTGAATTTAAGCTGCACCATGAATAGGAATCAGGTCATCTTCCCAAAAAAACCTCATCCACCGTTATGAAAGTGCACATACTCCTCCCCTATCAGCATATCTAAAGCAATTCTGTTCTGCCTGAAGGTTGGTTTTATGGCTGACAGTTGTTCAGTGATTCTAGATAATGCATCATGGGTAACATTTATGAATCGTTGTTGCTTGCAGAGTAGATAATTAATCCAATCCACATTTTTATTAATTTAAAGGAGATTCAAATTCTTGAATAATCTGATTTCTAGCCTTCAATTCATCTCACACACAACTAGAAACACCTCTGCCTTTTCTATTGATACAATAATCAAAGCTGACATGCAGAGCTCTTTGGAACTGCATGTTATTAGAAATTGGGGAAAAAGGAACTATAGACAGTTGTGTGAAAGTAGCAAGCTTAACATGAACACACTTGACAATCAGTGTAAAGAAACCATGTACCAACTTGAACCCTTTTGCCCAGATGACATTGAAAGGACAGATAACAACTGAAATTGAATCATAGCAAAACATTTTCACACATATTTGTATTACGAACAGAATAAAAGGCATATGCGAGAGTTCTTCTGATATATTATGATTTGGTCATTATAGAACAACTTACATAAAATGTCGTATGGTGAAGGTCAGGACATACCTTTTTTTTACATCATTCTATCTATTCATATCTAGCAAAAAAGCTGAAAACGGCACATATATTCAGAGGCTTGGTGGATGTCGGAATTACTTGCTATTAATCTGTGAAGAAATATAGAATAGATAGAATGATGTGAAAAAAAATCAGATGAAAATACCTGCAATAACTTTTACTTATGATGGGCATAGGTCAGGTTGTTAAACATATCTCAAATCACTAAAACAAGCAAAAAGCTGTAAATGGGACCTATGGTGAGGGCCAATGTGCCACCCTCTAGGGGCATGGTAAAAATTTAAAATGTTTTTTTTAGACATATTATGAATCAAATAATGGGAAAAACTTCAATTCGCAAGGTCTTTAAAGAATTTTTATTTTTTGAAAAACCCTATTAGAATGTTAATACTTAAGTAACCCTAATAAGAGAGGCTATATGCCTCCCTCTCTGTTGTTACCATCCAACCACACTTCTCTAGTCCGCATGACATCCCAATGTCTGTGCTAAAGATCCGGATGGTATGGATCAGCGATTTAATGTACCACTCATTGTTAGCGTACAGCTTGATGTCCGATTGTTCTGCCGTCTGAGCATTCAAGGATCTGAGTGTTCGATACTGGAGTTCAGAAAATTGAGCTTTTGCCACTGGATGCCGGGGCATCAACGAATCATAAAAGCTGATACAGGGTTTTTTGGGGGAGACAGACACCACATGCAAGCTGTTAACACTTCTTCAGAGCTGTCTGCAGGGGGTAAACTCCAAAGGTTTAAAAAAAAAAAAAAAAAAAAAAAAAAAAAAAAGCAACAAGAATGGATTGTTATGTGGGCTACTACACAACAAAACTATGGCAAAACAATTTA